GAGGTTTCTGGCCTTTTTTTTTGGGGGGGGGTTTTCTCCTTATAGTAATCGCAACTTTTATACCATAAGGATATTTATTCCCCAATGGGAATGGAATGGAATGTGGCCCGCATTCAGATTTGTCAACCCAGATTCACAGCCTGTGCGTTTGACCGCACCCAGATAAATTGATTATATTTGGTTATAATTCCTACTTCCGTATACCGAATACTGCATATGTCAAGATGTGTCTTAAGGTGTCATGATTAAAACGGCTAGCTCTGTCGAGAGTTAAATATTTGCAGTGAAATGAAAACCATCGCACACCTTTTCTTAATTGCAAACCAATAACGGAACAAAAACTGAACCTCCCACATGAAAAGCCCAAATCATGAGGACAGCGATTGTCCACCCACTGGGGTATTAACTCCGTTTTCTGTTACTGAATAGACTACCCGTCCTAGTGGGGAGTCTTGAAAGAGTTCAATATACCCATCTCGTCGGCATGCTTCGCCAGATCGTGTAAATGTCCAGTACAAGCGCCTTCCGATGCAACACAACCGTAAAGTTTCTCAAGGTCTTTGCGAGTCAGGTGGGGAGTAAAAGTTTTGATCTCAGCCGGCGAAAGCCTATCGAAATCTCTCACAAGGCCATTCAGAGTCGGGGGCTCGTCAGCTCTGGCCAAGAGTCTGGATCGTCTTTGGGGCATCGTCGGCCATGAGCCGGAGAGGAAGGGGAATGTTGAGACAAGGGCCAAGAAACCCGTCACACGCATTGTGGGTGGCAGGAGTTGTTTCGTAGTGGCTTGAAGTTTTAGATAGATAAGAGTAGTAGCTTGGAACCAGAGCACAGTAGGCAACCAGGGATGGCTACTAATTGATTAAGTAGGCACTTAGCTATATATATAGTTCTCTGGATGTTAGTTTGCATGAAGTCATTAGGGAGAGAACCCGTATTGACTTCTGCATGGGGAATAATATTCCGTGGTCCAAGATGATCTGCCTTCGAAATCCATGTCGGAAATGACCATAAAAAAAGTCAATTCCAGTGGTGACCACTGTTCGCAGTAAGGAACGTAGATCGATTTACCGGACCAAGATCGGTCGCTTTACTCTCAACCAATCATGGGCATTATACGACAGTGATTTCAACTTTATAGTTAATAAGCTTTGTGTGCTGCTTCTTCAGCGGCTGCCCACGAAAACGGAATATCTGAGGATACTACCTTCTCCAGTCTAAGACCCACTTGATGCTAAGATTGTAGACTTATGAGATAACACACTACGTAATATTGTCTCGATATTACTGGAGCAAAATGCAAAAAAAAATATATTTTCGGAAAATTATTCTGTCTCCAAGGATAGCAGAGGTAAGAAGCGGTTAGTGGTGCCTACCCTGCTGGCTATTCTACTGACTTACGGAATAGAGCATTCTTACTATGTTTATTAAGCTCAAAGATTATATTCGTCCTATCTTGGCTTGCCATATCCAGGAGCGGGATAGGTTTGCTATAAATATCCTCATTTTTATACAGTTTGTGTATATATTTTTGCTACCTAGTATAGTTACCATTTCTTTTCTTTTCTTTTATATTCAGGAATAAACAGCTATATAGCCTCTTTCCGAAATTCCTACATCATAAGATAGTTATTGATTCTGCATAGCTCAACAGCATTCTCGCTCCTGCCCTTTTCTCTTCTCGAAAAGAGGAGTTATGTATACGAAAAGCTTTGTAGGAGACACGCCCTTCCTCGACCACTTAATATCAGCTGCGAGTCTTGGACGAAGGTAATCGATATGACTAGCTCACAAGTTAAATGATTATGCTTAGGGTTAGAAGAGCGTCATTTAGAAAAAAAATGGCTACAGTGACTTTGTCACAACTCGATTGAGTCTATGTTTTTCCAAAGAACGATATTGCGACTTCTATGAAGAATGGATCACAGAAGACATTATTTACCAATATAGGATGTGCAGACATCTGTCACTGTCTTCCATTCCGTGTATAGACTGTTTCTCACTCTCCTTCTGTACAGCACAACAATCACAAACATACATACAGGTCACCAACGAGAAACAAAAACCACCCTGGAAGATCCCCTGATTAACAGTGAGTACGCAAGATTATAGTGGTTGGCTTGGCACTACAGTTGCTTCCTGTATTTACCATTCCGAATCCATTGCTTTTGTGGGTCAGAGGGAGATGCCTTCATGGAGCTCGTCTACTTGTATGTGAATAGCTATTTGTAGGTCCGGGGTACCACATCACTTCGGACCCTAAGCGGATCAAGGCAAGCTACCACATGTAAACTCCCCGAGCCAATTTTTGAAGACAACGTCCTCCCCGGAGTGCTAATGCCAAGGTAGTCTTCTTGATATCTTCAACAACAATCGAACAGTGGAACCCCGGGGTTGCGGGCCGGAATTCCAGGAATCGGCAGTAGGGGTTGTTTCTTGATACCATATGGACCCCAATCGGGCTCACCAAGGAGTCAGTTTCAAGACTTGCCCACCGGGGTTTGTCCGGAGCCATTCACGTTTAGCTTCACCCAGGCAGGCGGCGTCCGCTCATTGTGCTGATCTCTAAATCAAATCCTCGCCAGTGAAGAGCCAAGACGGCATTACCGAGCGCTTACAACTGCCATTTCAGGAATGACTGCTGCCCTGATCCCCCAGAGCCCGTAACCTGGAGTACCCCAGAAATCCACTATCGAATGTGGAGAGGCAACCCTTACCCTCAAAGATGTCATTAACGGGAGCAAGTGCGGAGAAGTAGGAAGTGGAGATAATCAACCGCCTGATCGTCATTATTTGAAAAAGTTGGTGGCTACTTATCTGGGGATGGCGCTGTTTTGTCATGCGTGGTGTTCAGGCATTATTTTAATAGAATCCTTTCCCTCAGTGCAGCGGTCATTCTGAAAAAAAAAAAAAAAATGAATATATTCAGTCTTTAACAGCTTCCCATGGCGCTGCTTTCGAAAGTCCTCCTCGCTGCTCTGCCAAGCGTGGTCGCTGGCCTTTCTCCAACCGCCACAGTCAAGAACGGCACTTATGAGGGCAAATATGTTGCTTCATACGACCAGGATCTCTTTCTCGGCATCCCATTCGCTCAACCACCCGTTGGCGAGCTCCGTTTCCAGAACCCACAAAGCTTGAACAGCACCTTTGGTACTAGAAACGCTACCGAATATGCTGATTCTTGCGTCGGATATGGAGTAAGGTTGGCCTTGGACTACGAAATCAATACCCTTGCTAACCCATCCCAAAGAACAGTGCTGCCTGGCCTTACACCCTGAGTGAAGACTGCCTGACATTGAATATTGTCAGGCCTGCAAAATCAGGACAGAGCAAGGATGACGAGCTCCTCCCGGTCGGATTTTTTACTCACGGAGGAGGCTGGTCGATGGATTACAGTGCCAACGGCGTCTATAATCTGAGCTTCATCGTCGAGGAATCGGTCAAGATGGGAAAGCCGTTTATTGCCATCTCCGCAGATTGTCAGTATATTTTCTCTGCATAGAACTGAGGAATAGATGCTAATGCCGTACGTAGACCGAATGTCTTTCTGGGGCTTCATGGCCAGCCAGGATATCCTCGACGCAGGCGTGGCCAACCTCGGCCTCAAAGATCAGCGAATTGCGATGCAATGGATCAACGAGAATATTGAAGCCTTTGGCGGTGACCCAGCCAAGGTCACCATTTGGGGTGAGAGCGCTGGTGGCGGTAACGTTGGATACCACGCCACTGCCTATGGCGGTCGTGATGATGGCCTCTTCCGTGGTATCATTGCTGAGTCTGGCGCCGATGGTAGCCACATGAAGAACTTGACGGAACCTCAGCAAATCTACGATACCATCGTTAGTGCTGTCGGGTGTGATGGTAGCTCAGATAAACTTGCTTGTTTGCGTACGGTTCCCTTCGATAAACTAAATGCTACAATCACCCAGATTACGGGTAGTTTCTACCCCATTGTAGATGGGGACATCATTCCTGATCTACCATCGGTGCTTCTCGACGCTGGAGAATTCACCAAGACGCCTATTTTGCTCGGCACAAATGCCGACGAAGCCACAATGTTTGCTGGCACCGGAGTCAACACGGACGAGGACATTGCAAGTCTTATTCAGTCGTCGGGGCTGGATGCCAACACGACCGAAATACTCATGGCGCTGTACCCTGACATCGACTCGCTTGGACTGCCAGCTCATTACCACGTTCAGCCCGATGGACCCGTGGGAAAGCAGTTTAAGCGGTCGGTGGCGTTGCTGACGGATCAAATGTTCCTTTCATGGCGGCGTCTGAGGACAGACGCATGGTCCAAATACGGTGCCCCAGTTTATTCATACCTGTTTGAGTCACCAATATCATCGAGTAAGAAACACCCCATAACCTCACTCATTTCAATCAAGAGACTAAAACTTGGGTATCCATAGCTTCATACACAGGCACCAGCCATTTCACCGAAATCGGCTACGTCTTCTACAATAGAATCGGGCTAGGATATGCTGCTGGCCAAAGCCCGCTCGCAAACGCAACACAGGACGTGCTAGACCTGGCCAAACTCACCACTCGCATGTGGATCAGCTTCATAACCGACCTTGATCCAAATAACCATGGAGGTAAGGCTACTCCTGTAGCGTATCATCACTGAGGATATCATCTAACCGTGGCTTTAGTTGCCGGGGTAGACCACTGGCCCGTGTATAATGCTACGGGTGGCTATGGGCAAAATTTCTACTTACATCCTACTGATGGCGGCGTGAGACCTGACACTTTTCGATTGGCAGGGACGACGTTTATGAATTCGATAGCGAAGGAGCAGTACGGGCGCTGAGTGCCATCGTGAGCAGGACAATATGGAGACATAATATCATTGTATCAGAGCCCAGTATACAATCTATATCTCAACATGCATAATTCCTCTTTTCGTGTACTTCCGTGAGACACTGTGACCTCAGTAGAGCCTGAAACCTCTGAGCCAGGTAGACGATTGTATCGGAGTATACGAACAAAGTATGGTCCTACCTTCATAATGTTCTCCAATACCCTCAGACCGCCAAAGAATACCACAAAACAAGACCCCAAGTAATTATTCTCGATCGAGATAGACGACATATATATAACCCAAGCGCACCAGGCGCCAATCAAACTGGTCCACTTCGGGCACCAAAAAAAAGCCAAGACCCTAGCCCGAAGCGGGTGGAGGGGCGATCGATCATCGCCTGGACAGACTCCATGCTATTGAATATACTGGGTTCATACCAGTTGTCTCCACGCCGATTTGTTTGTCGGTAGTCTTTGATGCGGGGGTCAAAAAGACATGTGTAGGCGTTGTGTACTGGTTGTGCTTCTGGCTCGAGAACGGGTGTAATGGTTAACCGCCAAGGTAATGAGAGAGCCGATCAGGAAGGGAAGAGACAAGACGAAAGCGAACACGAGGAGTTGCCGGAGAGTTCGTGGAGGAACGAGAGAGGAGGCGGCGAAAAGAAAAAGGGAGAGGAAGAAGGATAACGTGAAAACTATTGCGGAGTTCATCATGCAGGTAGAATGGCGTTATGATTAACAGTGGAGTGGCAGTACGTGAGGCTGTCTGTCACTGGAGGGGCGGGGCGGTCATAGTCCATTGAAATACATGGTGATGTAAAGTATTAGTCTTGAGGAATGTTTCCTAAGAATCATAGAGTATCTTGCCAGGCTCCCCTACGAATATAAAATAGTGGTTCTCGACGTTGCGACAAGGCAACGTTGGCGGTGGAGGGACATGGATGTTCTTTGTGGCGTATATTAGGGCTGGGTTTGGACGAATAGGCGTGGATTGCGTGGGCTGGCCAAGTCACCGTAATCACTAAGCCTCATGACAGTTACACTACTATGTATCTAATAGTGGGTTTTCTTTTTTCTTTCTTTGTTCTTTTTCTTGGTTCCTTGTCATCTAATTTCCCACTCTCTTTGTCTCCATCCTTTTTCCAATTTTCTCTTCTTTTCTTTTCTTCTTTTGTCCCGTTGAAACCATATCCATGGACATATCAGCCCTTGTATGACATTATGACAATTGAACATGGAAAGCCTCACAAGACGATAGGCAAAGAGATTTAGGAAAGTAATAACAACAACAACAATAATAATAATAACAAGAACAAGGAAAGGAGAAAAGGAAAAGAAGAAGATGGGATAATACCGAAGGAGGGAGAAAGCCAGCATGAGTGACAAATAATAGTAAGCAATAATAATAGCATGGTTTACTACGGAGTAGTGGAGGCCAAGAGTCAACTCCAAGTTAGGGCACATACTCTAACAAGTTGCGACCAAATAGAAGAGTCTACGAGCTAATGTTGACTGGGTTGAAAGAAAGGCTAAGACTCATGGATACTACACAAAGATTATGCTTCCGCTGATTTCGTGTCCCCGCCCTTTAACTTCTGTCTTCCCCTCTCCGAATATGCTCACTCTCCAAGGTGCTACCTAGCTAGAAATTGGTCAGAGAGATAGGTATAATGTGATGTTACACCCGAGAGGCGATGGCTTCGTTGAAAAGCAAGCAAACGCTGCGGCTAGTGAACTGGTGTAGCAGATTTCCAGGAAGAGAAACCAGTTCATGGAGGAGATCTAAGGTGCCTGCATAGCCTCCTCATCATGCCACTTGTGAGGATTGTGTGCTATTGCAAAACAAAAGGTGGAAGAAGGATCACTGATTTCATTAGCGTACTATAATATTGTATCCTGGCATCCTGCATAGCAGGCATGGCCAGATATGCATTACGTAGCTTTGGCTTGAGTTCTGTTACTCAAGGTTGGAATTATACCTCAAGGTTATATTCAAGGGTGTGAGACATGGCGCTACGTCCTATATGTGTCTGGACTATAGAATTCAACTTGAATTCAATAACTGGGAAAGGAAGCGACACTCAGAGAGCACTCGGACAAAAAGGCACAACAGCGTCATAGGCGTAAAAGAGGGGTTTTTCAGGAAAGCAGTGGAAATAACTGTTGAATGCGAGTCCGATGTCCCGCGTGGTGGTTCAGATCCGCAAGACAGGAGAACTCCATATTCTCGATTCCACGCAACGCCAACTACTAGACATTCCGTCTCATCAAGTATGCTCCAACAACCTTGCTCCACCATTCAATTGACATTCGTAGGTAGGCTATATACTACCCTTGTCCGGTCCCTAACACAGTGGAGGACATCATATCTCAGCAGGGGGCACAAAATACATAAGCGAATTGGAACCTAGTGCTGACGAGAGTTATGTTTGGGGGGTGGACTTGAACACTTCTTTTTGGACTTCGTAAATTGATTGGATGTCTTCTCAGATTTCTCCTTAATTTTCTTTTTGTGGTTGTGTTGTCCAGACAAACGAAGCTAGTTAGAGAGGCCTTCGAGGCTAACTCGTTTTCGAGTACCTGGCTCGGCCATTTTATCGTATTGACAGACATCACTTATCGAGGGGAACGGCTACGAATGATACACGCTTGGGAGCCACAGTTGGCTCATGGTTTTGTGATCTAAATGGCTGGCTGGTTGGACCATGTGTTGATACTGCATATATTTCTGTACCAGAAGGTCAACTACCTTTCATATTGGGTACTTTAGGCATGGATAACATGGGATCTGTCTCCTTGTCTTGTATAGATACATCGAAAGATCAACACCTCCCCTTTAATGTTTACTCCTCTAGCAAGCTCCTCAGCACCTCCGCAGGCGTCCGCTTCGGCGCAGCAATCTTCAAAACCTGCTTACTAGTCGTTGCAGCATTACATTTACCTTCCCACATAGTCGTCACCGCATATCTCGTAGACCCGATGACAGTCTTCGATTGTCCCGGACCTCCAAAGCCACTGTTCAGCATTGCATCCAAGAGGCTCAAGTCCTGATAATTCACATCCTTCACCTTGGTGCCAATATGCTGTTCTACCAAGCCAACTAGCTGCTCGCCGGTGATATCCTCCGGCCCATTCAGGATATACTTGGCCCGATTGTGCGCACTCGGATCAACCTGGGCCAGAAGGTGAGCTGCAAAAATGCCGACTTCGTCTGGGTGAATAGGAGCAACAGGCGCATCCTTAGCCGCCATTAACCTGAGCGTGTCCTGCTCACCAGCCTGTCTATATTGCTTGATAAACTGGGCCGCAACGGCAAGATAAAAGTTCAGAAATATGTTTGGCTGGAGCGAGGTCCATCCCAAAGCACTAAACTCTGCGGACTCAAGCAGGGCCTCGATAGCCCAGTGCTGGCGCGGATAGTAGGCTTCGAAATCGGGACGGACATTGGGCGCCGTGGTGGAGATGCGCACAATATACTCAACACCGGCTTTCAGGGCGGCGACATGGAAGGCCGACTCTTCAGCAAATTGATTTGGTGCGTTGTGGGAAGCAATAAAGGCGCGCACAACTTGCTGTTCGCGAAGCCAGTCGGCAGTGATGTCGGTCCAGTTATATTCGACAACCTCAACGCCGGGAATTTTCGCAAGATCTTGGGCTGTAGGGCTGGAAAGAGACCTGGTCATGGCAAGCACTCGGTGGTTGGAGAAGGTTTCGTTCGCTTTAAGAATGGTTGGGAGGGTTTGGGTCACGGCCCGGCCGGTGTTGCCTGTTGCACCGACAACAAGGATAGTTGGAGCCATGATTCGTAGAGTATGGTTGTGAGCAATCAAGTTGAATGGGTGTAATAACAATGTCCTACAAAGGTGCGTCTCAGGGCTGTATATAGCGGCAAGACCAACGATACCATTAGGAGTCCGATTAATAATGGTCAATGACTATTAATCAGCATCTTTTTATTTAGTAGGAGACTCCAATAATAGTATAGAACTCTGGTATAGTAACTATTCCATCCTATTCTATGATTTACTCAGAGTAGATTTAATAGATGTCTGTTTAATACTAGTCAAGGACTATCAGTCAGCATCTTTTATGCGGTGGGAGGCTCCGACGACAATGTGGAGCTCCGGCATACATAGCGGCCATCCCACCTTCGTTCCCAATAATTACCCACAGTGGCGTGGCTTTAATAGACGGCAAGATCTACAATAGGTTACATTAGTAATCCTGCTTCATTATCAAGCAACAAACGTCTCTTGATATAGGAGCTCCCTCGACGGCGAAAGATACATAGAACAAAACACCTGAGTGGATTCTGAGAAGCATGAATTAGTGCCAGACGGACCCGACCTCGAGCAGCAAGATCAAGATGACACTCAGATATCTAATCACAGGCGCAACCGGAGGCCTTGGAAAGCAAGTGCTGAACTATTTCACCGCAAACATTCCCCTTTCTGAATTTGCTGCGGCATCATCCAACGCCGCTAACAAATCAATTTTTGAGAATCGCGGGATCGCTTTCCGCCATGTTAACTACGATGATCCTCAATCTCTGGAAACGGGCCTGCGCGATGTCGAGAACCTCCTTCTTGTTAGTACAGGTGACCGACACCGCGGCCAGCAGCATGCCAGCGTCATAGAGGCCGCTAAGAAAGCTGGAGTGAAGCATGTACGTTCTATTTATGGTTTTGCAGAAATCATGGATGATGTTTGCTGACAAAAGCCCCACTACCCGCCTAGATATGGTATACGTCTTTGGCCTTCGGGGGCTTCCAAGATACCTCCAAGGCTCCAGTGATGCAGGATCATCTTTTGACTGAAAGGCTGCTCAAAGAGTACGTGGTGCATCCTGCACCTATATCAGTAATTTGCACCAGTCTAATTTTCCGAACCTAGATCCGGCCTTACATATACTTCCATCCGGGAAGGTGCCTACGCCGAATGCTTCACCGTATTTCTCGACTGGGATCCTGAACGGAGTGGAACCATCACCCTCCCCGCCGACGGAGAGGTGGCTTTTACTTCACGAGCAGAACTTGGCGAGGCAACCGCGCGCATCATGATTCGTGGCGGTTATGTGAACCAAATTGTACTGTTTACTGCGGGTGAGACGATCACTGCTCGGGAGATAGTAGATATCCTCAATGAGACCACTGGTCGACAGATCAAGCTTGATTTGGTCCCACGGGAGGAGTATCTTCGCACATGGATGGTTGACCCGCGTGGCAAGCCAAGGGAGCACTTTGAGATGATTGTGTTATTTTGGGATGAGATTGTCAAGGGGAGCCTGCGCACAACGCATCCGCTTTTACGTGAGATTTTGGGGAGAGAGCCTACTAAGCCGAGGGATTTTGTGAGGAAGTTGTTGTTGGAGGATAGGAACTACGTTTTTCAATACTAGAATAGCTGCCATAGATACTATAGTGGACACCAAGAGCGTTTATGACGTGAATTGAAGTAGACCACAACCGCTTGACCCTACATTACTGTATAGAGCCCGTCAGCGACCTGGTAGGCAAGAGGCAAGGAAAACAGCGGATAGAACGAGGCGGACAATAGCCGAATGATGCGACATTTTTGGATGGTTATGCACGGGGGGAGGTAACAGGAAGAGGTCAAAGAAAAACAGAGCGTTTGGTTGTTTAGCTCGAAGCATGAATCGGACTTATATAGACGCGCTACCCTACATTACGATCCAGGATGGGTTGCTCCTCTTTCTGAACGTTGGAATAAATGTTTCCAATCCTGTTTTCAACGGATACTCTAATTCCGATATCTATCACCTCTGTCTTTCAATTCCTGTGGCCTCCCTGTCTAGCGTATTTGATGGGACCTTTTTCTCCTCTGTCTGTGTATATCACACTCTCACGTTCTTTCTTTCTTTCTTTTGTTGACTGTGCCCGGTGATATTCTTTGCGGATGGTTATAATAGGCGAGGAATTATATTGTTAACTCATTCTCGAGACAGTCGCCTGCCCAGAAGATTGTTTCTCGGAGGCGTGGTAGGTGAAGCACTTTAAGAATCGCATGAAAGATTTCCGGTTGGACTCGATGATCAATATAAAGCCCGAGCTTCCCAAGGCGAGAAAATTGAAGAATGAATTTACTGAAGATAAAGGCACACTGATTATTCTTAGATTACGATATTTTGTATACGTTTCTCACTTTAAATATTGTTATTGCAATAGCCCGACACGAAGCCAACTGAAAGTCCGAAATCCGGAACACATGGACGGTTTACAAAAATTATGGAATGAAGGCCAAGTACCGCTGGATGGCTTAAATTGGTATAGATATCGTAGCTTAAAGTTTTAGGTTTATTAAATTTGTGGTATTCAGGGGACTTTGTTCATGCCCTTTGGTGCTGGTGACAATATACGGATGTTTACTACCTAGGCTGTGTTTGCTTTCTACACGTAGGCTATAGCTATAGCTTGAGAAAATTAGCTCCAGAGAGGATTTAACTGGTTGAATCTACTCTGAAAAGACAACATCTAGCGCACTACGCCTCCCTAGGATTTGCAACGCCTAGATGAAAACGCCAAAGATAAGGCCAACAACTGGCCAGAAGATCAGCCAATCGTTGACACCATTACTGACTGCCATTGACTCCTTGGACTCCCCCCCAAACTTCATGTTCATTGAGCTATTCCCAAATCCAAGCGTTGGAGTCCATGAAGGATTGCTTCCCTTGTTTAAAATATCCGAGTGAAGAGGATCTATCTTCCCCAGAAATTCAATCGATCCTTCTCCATACATAGCATCCCCTTTCTCATTATTGATCAAGAACCAGCCATTAAAAGAGAAACTGGCCGATTGATTATCGAACATTACACTGACGATAGGCTCGGTAATAGGTATGCCCTCCGGGTTATAGTCGCCATGGTCTAAGAAGCTAAGACCCCACCACGTATCGGCCGGATCATCACAGGAACTCATGTTCATTTCCACAGTCTTGACACCACGTCCAGTGTCATTAGATGCTCCTGTAATGTGGTACGGCGGACCGAGATCGTTCTCGAGCGAAAGATTGAAGTAGGGCTTATAAGATCCACTCGTGTAGCCTGGAACTACGTGCCTAACAGGTGTTACTTCTCTTTTGTTCAGTAGTCTGGCTGGAGATAGGACGTACTCAATTGAAAGGAATTGCCACCTTAGGTTTCTCTCTTCATTTCCCATATCGGAACCGTGGACAAAGTCGAAGTCTGTTAGTGCCGATTTAAGAGCAATTTGTACTGGATTCTTGCCCTTGTCATCGGGGTTTGTCTTTGTCACGGCCAGAATGGATTCAGATGCGAATGTTGTGGTTTTATTTCGAAAGGTGCGGCACACCTCATTGCCATTGCCATCTAGGAGATATTCCAAGTTGAACGTTGTGGTGCCGTTGTAGTACCTGTGACCTATGAATCAGGACATATTCCTTCAAGATGGAATCATAGCTTACGATCCAATCCATGAGTAGAGGAAATACGGTAAGCCCGTTATGTTCCTAAGACGGAAGTTGTATTCGGGGTCGAATGTGGAATCCTTGAAAGCAAGAGCTTTGAAGGGGAGGAGAGTCCATATTAGGAAGATGTAATTCATGTTTCGCATCAGGCCTGTCGTTTACGACTTATCTCGCCCCGGGGACCTCACATGGGGGAAGAGGAAACGCCGTCAAAAGATAAAACGATGACTCGAAAGATTGACTATCACATGAGACGGGATAGCTCGTGTTTTCACTTGGCATACAATTCTAGTGGTTCCTCCATAGAGCTATCGTAGGCTAAGGCTCACTAATTTTGCAATATCCATACCGTGAAGGTTTGATTCTAACAAGCAAGAAACATAGAATTATGAAACTAGCAGTTTAATATCTTGGCTCTGTCTACGGGGTCTTAAGGTGATCCGATAAAGCGGTCTAAGCCCCGCTCGTAAAAAAGTTCGTTTAGGAAGGTTTGCAGTTACCCCTCTTAGGAATCACTGAGGCTATTCAAGTTACTTTTCATCTGTAGCTCTTGTAGTACTCTATGTGTCTAGAAAGGTCGACGTTTAAAGTTTTATATTGCCCTGATAAATGTGCAGGTATGAAAAGTTGTAATATGGTAGAGATCCAGCACAACAACAGCAACAAAGTTAGCCCTGCGGGCAAAACAATTTAAATAGAACAACGCAACAGCCAGTATTACCAGCATGCCTGCAATCAGCCAGAGACTAACGCTAATGGTTAGCATGAGCCTTGGTTGGGAGCACAGGGAGCAACACTGGATGATCCAAAAGTCCATCATTTCAACAAGCCCCAGAGGTTATTCAGGCTTTCCGCAAAAGCTGGATGGGCAAAAACTGCGTCTTGTAATTGCCAATATGGAAGTTTTGCAATCATAGCGACCTCTACAATACTCATAAGTTCTCCTCCTTCTGTGCCCAGACATGTAAATCCCAGAATTTGTCCATCGTCGGCATTAACGACTGCTTTCATCATCCCTCTTGGTTCATCCGTCTCCAATGCCCTGGCAACATAGCTCATCGGCATAATTGCTGTTCGTATTTTCATTTGCGGGTATTGCTCGCGCGCCTCTCTTTCGTGCAATCCCACGTGGGCTAGCTGTGGGTCTGTATATACCACATAGGGCACGAGCCGGTCTTTCACAGAGGGTCCAGAATGTGCCGGAGAGTCGGAGAACAGAGAAACTTTCAAAACCCGAAAGTCATCATAGGATATGTGTGTAAAAGCGGGAGGACCCTTGATGTCACCTAGGGCATAAATGGAAGGGACAGAAGTCTCTAGAAACTCGTTGCACTTGATGTAACCTTTTACATCGACTTCGATCCCTGCGGCGTCCGTATTCAGGTGATCCGTGTTAGGAATTCTACCAGCAGCAAAAAGAAAATGAGTGACATTGGTCACAATCTCATTGCCGCTTTGAGTCGCCACGGATATATTGAATGTTTCCGCAGATGAAGGTGTAATAGATGTGGCTCTGGCCTCCAGATAAATTGTCAAACACTCATCCCGCAGGATATCAAGCAGCTCGGCTGCTACCTCCTTGTCTTCTCGAGGCAGCAGCTGTGCTCCCCGTTGAATAATCGTTACCTTCGATCCAAGTCTCGCGAATAATTGCCCGAACTCAACTCCAACGTATCCACCTCCGATGACCACTAAGTGATCCGGTACCTCACCTAACTCTTGAATAGATGTGGAGTCCAGTACTCTGTCTTTCCCTATCCTTTCCAGCCCATCGAGCCTTGGAGGCGCCGGCCGGCAACCAGCATTAACAACAATCTTTTCTCCCCTGAGAAGTCTGTGACTCCCGTCGGGCAAGAGCACTTTTAGGGTGTTCGCGTCATTAAACCTCGCCTCACCTCGCACAACCTCAACCCCAGCAGCTTCTAGGCCTTTTTCACCCCCACTCCTGAAAGAGCTCACTATATCGCGCTTTCGCTGTCTTACCTTGTCCATACAAACAGTAAATTCATTCGTTGGTCCAATTTGTCCGGGCACATGGATACCGTAGTCTGGCCCCCTGCGGATCATATGCGCGACGCGACCAGAAGCGATCATAGTTTTGGTCGGCGTACAGCCTTCGTTGATACAACAACCGCCGATGTGTTCCTTTTCAATCAGTACGGTTTTCTTGTTTGCACCGGCCAATGCTTTTGCGAGCGGAGTACCACCTTGGCCTGAGCCTATTATGATGGCGTCGTAATGTGTAGTCGTTGCCATTTTTCTGATGATGAATTGCCCTAATCGTTGGCGTGCTTTGTAGAAGTATGGAAAGTATATCGACATCACGGGTCTTGGAAGAAATTTCAGAGACTATAGGGCCAATCGAGAAAAGTCCATTATATATGGAATGATCGAGTCATTCAACGTAGGCGGTGTCTTAATACATCATAGTTCGCGATGTGGTGGCACGTTCCGTGGCTTGGATCAACCTTATTATATCTTATCGTGGAACCACAAGTTCTAGACCACCTTTGAATGTCGTGTGAGATAAAGGAGGGGATTGCTATACGAGGTCACCGACCTACTTCGTATGAGGACAAATGCCACATCCGATTAATGTTTCGGTTGCTTCTAACTTGATTTGCTCTTCATGTATAGTTGAATCAATGGACATGACCTCCGCATATTCTAGTCACTGAATGAGCCCTGAACCATTGGAAACCAATATCATCCTATCTATGAATCCCAACCTGATTTATTTAACGCAACAGAAGTTCCTTGGAGGATCAAAAGTATCCTGCCATGAGTGTCCGGCATAGCTGCATTCATTCTAAACCTTCACATCAGTGCTGATTCGCCATGACGGCTTTCGAGAAGACGCGACAATCCCTATGCAGCAATGATGCTCATTTGCATGAGAGTCACATTCTCGGTTTATAGGTGCAAGCAAGCCATAGTACAATGAGTATTCCATCATGGCATGCAAATCAACATCCCAATCTGTTAATCGTCTCCCTTCCCGGGGAGTCCTAAACCCTAATACCATTTCTACATGCATGCGACGTTTCCCACATATACAAATCACACCTCGCCAGCTTCTGCGTCGTAATATTTTCTGCTAATCCAAGGTGTTTTCTGGAAACCACGTACACTTTCCATGTGCTCTGCGTGGTTCCTTAAACAGTTGTATCACGCGCCGTGAAGAGACGGACCACTATAAACAAAATTATGATATTGTTGGCTTCGTGTGAGCTCGAATCATCTAGATATACTGGTATAGTACACAGATCCACATCCTGTCAATGGCCCATTGAGCGGTAGGTCTAATATAAAAGCCTAGGACTCATACGACCAAGAATCTGGATCCGCACTGGCTATAGTTGGGCATCTGGATGAGGGATTTAATATCAATACAGCACTACCTAACGGATTGATTCCGCGCGGGCTAATTGTGGTACAACCACTAGTGTTCGAGTTTCGGAGAGACAGCGGTAGAGAGGGGTCGAACCAGCATAGAGGCACGACGCAGCGCCTGGGGGTAGACAGAGACTGTCCAAAATGGAAGACGATGAGTGGATGTCTGTAACAGTCCTAGGCAAATACTGATCACGGTCGTCCTTGTTCCACCTTCGCTATGGTCATCAATGGGCAGCTCTTTGTCACAGCTCGATAAAACCATATAATCACTATTACCCTTCGTCAATACTAAGCACAAGTTCACGAGGCTTTCCCACAATACTTTACATATTAATATTACAACATTTTAGGCATGTGGAAAACACCGGAAGGAATGCCTCTACCGAAATTATGCCGAAGCTTGTGTCTTCCTGTATTAGACCCTTAGACATCATCGGCATGTCGGCCTGCACCCCGCGGGGTGAAATAGCTAGTATAAGAAAAGAACCGGCATCCTTCGGTAAGAATTTATGCAATGCACCCCATAGCTGCGGGGACAATTCGAGCCTGCCGCCGTCGAGATAACCGCATACGGCAATTGAGCCCAATGGGTAGACATTCCCCTGGTGGTTCGGCCAAATTTCACTACTCGATTCGGTTCGCCGGTGGGTGCGTATGTTAAACTTTTTTTTGAGGAATATAAATTCCGGCCTCTCTCACGAACGGGCGGCGCGGCCCACTTTACTTCCCGGGCTCCATTGTAGACATCGGGCTCATCCAGTTGTTCTCTCCTTCGATAAACAAGATCTTTTACATACATTAGCGACTGAGCAATCCCAGGTGCACTGGTATACTACTGGCCTACGCTGTGGCCTTGGCTGTCTTTCGCTTGTAGACTTATAGGTAGATGATAAGACAATGGCATACTGCGGGATATCTTGTTCTTAACCTCGGACCACTTCCGCGTACTAGGTGGAGAAGCTTGTGGGGTTTGGGGTCAAAACCTGGAGACACTGGGGTTGTTTGAGGCTTGGGCTTCAGAATATGCATACAACCACCTCAACTCTAAGCGCAGATCTTTACCGGAAATGTGGTAACGTGGCTTCCTGTCCCACTCGTATCTACGGTGCGATTGCTGGGAAAGAGTTTTCAGGATCCTTGTGCGATTCTTCTAGTGGCTGTCTCATGTATATAAAAGCCCTCAGGGAGCCAGTATCGATGTTATCACCAGACACTGTACAGAGCCATCAATAAGCAAAACAAAGATGCGAGCTTCCCTGTCATATGCTGCTTTACTGGCAGCATTTGCTGATGCGCAGCAACTGTACTTCATGACGGACGGCTATACTGAGCGTCCGCAGTGCACTCAGCCGGCTGCTACTCCTCAGTACCATTTCCGACCCTTTTCCTATACCCTAAATGAGACCGTTCGGTGAGTACCTTGACGTCTAACTTTACTGCAAACTAGAAAAGCACAACCCAGTTAACACAATTCTTTAGCTATGCTACTTCAGTACCCGCGCCAACCACAACCCGGACATATGCGCCACCTTACTCAGAAGCCGTCAAGCACCTCACGACAAATCCAGTGACCACGACATGGGGTAACTGGCTGCCTAATCAGACAGTGATCACGGCCACAGACACGGATGATTCTTATGGACAAGCCGCGTGGTCGTCTCTATGGCAGCAAGCCGAGCTTGAGAACTATACGACTACCGGACTGTATTCGACTACTGTCAGTCCCACGGCGGTTCCAACCAGTGAGCTAGTCCTACCACCACGGGACTACTTCGGGCCAACGGATTGCTATAACTTCCCAGATGAATTTATCTTCGGAGTTGCAGGAAGTGCAGCTCAGGTTGAAGGTGCTATGGGCTTGGAAGGCCGTAGCCCTACCATCCAGGAAAAGCTGGTGAATACAACTCAGCCAAAGAATTATGTGACAAACGAGAACTACTATCTTTATAAGCAAGACATTCAACGATTGGCTGCCATGGGAGTCAAATACTATAGTTTCTCGATCCCGTGGACGCGAATCCTACCCTTCGTGCTGCCGGGTTCTCCCGTCAATGAACAGGGGATCAAGCATTACGACGACTTGATCAACACTGTCCTTGATGCCGGAATGCAGCCCATAGTTACCTTGCTCCATTTTGACAGCCCATTGATGTTTGTGGGAAGCGACAACAGGTCAGCTCATCCAGATATTGGTTACTACAACGGTGGCTACCAGAACGAGACCTTCGTGGATGCCTTCGTCAACTATGCGAAGATCGTTTTAACCCACTATGCCGACCGAGTTCCGATTTGGGTCACATTCAATGAGCCCCTTCTCTATTCTTTTAACTTTGTCGGCGCCGATAATGTGGTGCATGCGCACGCGCAAGTGTACCATTTCTACCATGAACAGCTTAAAGCCACGGGTAAGATGGGTATTAAACTCAATGACAATTTTGGCGTCCCTCGGGATCCAACCAACTCCAGCGACATCATCGCCGCCAACCGATTTCAGGATATCCAGCTTGGGCTTTATGCCAACCCCATCTTCCTGGGCGAGCAGTACCCAGACTCCGTGCTGACAACTCTACCGGGGGCCAAACCACTCAGTGACCAGGACCTTTCATACATAGGTAACACCTCGGACTTTTTCGGCGTCGACCCATACACCGCCACGGTAGTCTCCCAGCCTGCCGGAGGAATCGAGAGCTGTGCAAAGAACCAATCTACAGAGAACTCCTTATTCCCTTACTGCGTTTTACAGGAGACAAGAAACATCTATGGCTGGAACATCGGATACCGTGCCCAAAGCTACGTGTACATCACACCTACCTACCTCAGAGAGTATGTCAACTATCTCTGGAATACCTTCCGGAAGCCCGTGTTCGTCTCCGAATTCGGGTTCCCTGTATCCCACGAAGCCGATCTGGAATTGTCCGACCAGCTGTTCGACACACCGCGCAGTATCTACTATCTGTCCTTCATGTCGGAGATCCTAAAGGCCATCCACGAGGATGGGGTGCATGTCATGGGTGCTTTGGCTTGGTCATGGGCTGATAACTGGGAATTTGGCGACTATAAGCAGCAATTTGGGTTGCAGGCAGTGAATCGGACGACGCAGCAACGATTCTTCAAGAAGAGCTTTTTTGACTTGGTTGATTTTGTGGGTGCGAGGTTACCGTCTTACTCATGATGAGTTCGCCATCCCATGAAGCTTAGATGGATAGAGCTAAAGGTTGGCTAAGTGGACTTGGAAACTTTTGCGGGTTGCTGTTCAAAGTGCATCTAGTGTATGGGATATTTAGCGGTATACATATATTCAGAGCGCTATACGCCAGCAGGTAACACGATATATAGTACTAGGATTGGGAATATTTAGGCCTCTAAGAGAGTATATATCAGGTTTCAAATAGTATAAATAAATTGTTTATAATTTTAAATCGTAACATAGGTATTATGCCGCTCTTTTGGTGCGCGGTCGCCTTGTATGAGGCGGCGAGGTAATCGCTGCTACAACTCACACCTTTTGAATAACCACAACACCAGGATCACCTGTAAACAACCTTTTGTAAGAACCAGCATCTTCATTCTAATACCATAATGTAGCCAAACCACTTACCGTGCCTCAAATCACCATATACCTTTCCATCCACCAATTTCAGAACCGCACCCATATACATACACCCGTTAGTTAGGCTCTATTCCCCACCTAAACAACTATAAGCCCAAGTAGATCAAGGTCAAAAGGTTCAATAAATACCACCATTCTTAAGGACGAACTCTCGATCTGCCTGTAGTCCTTTGAACCATGTCCTCCCTCATCTCACCCACCTTCTTATGCCAGAATACACGCTTGGGAGACAAGCTGCGATCCTCAGGGAAGGATCGCCCAAGGTACCAGCCATCAGACTCGAGAAGGGAATCGTTGAGGAAAGAACGGCGGGGTCGGTGTGATCAGTCACTGCGTGGATTTGGTCTTTTGTCAGAGTCTATGTTTCTTTTGGTAATGGGGGTGCCGTCGAGGGTGATGGTAGAGTATGGGGGATTTTCCATGGTGGTTGACTTGTTGTTTTAGGTTAATAAGAGGGGCTATGGGAATAGTGCAGCTGAGAGAGAGAGAGAGAGAGAAAAGAAGAAAATGAAAAAGAGTAAGATAAACAGATGAACAGAGAGATCCGGGTATGCTAGTTCGGAGGAGTTAAAGATCATCAGATAAGATACGATGGATAATATCCCACGTCCATAAACTGTGTTATGTATCCTCCCAGGCATTTAGCCATTTTGAAGAATTTTCATTATTACGGGTCTACCAGCAACGTTCATCAGCCTAAGTATAAGTGATTCAATCAGATAAGGTGGAGCCTGCAGTTAAATATCCACAGTGTTATGGCGCAGAGTATGCCGTCTCGGACATGAGTTCGGAGATCGCGTCGGATATATTTCATGGTTTGGGCACGCCAATATATTATTTTTGCCACTCTAGTCAATATGTAGATTCGGCTGAATACTCTGGAAACTTAGGGGAGCAACGTTTTGTTGTTTAATGCGTGGCAGTGTCAGCAGCGTTTAGACTGTATAGAGAAGCCTTAGGCCTGGCGCGTCATGCCCTAGATAAACGGTAATCACTTCGCAACTAGCTACCTCTGTCGGTCTCCATCCCTTGTGATAGGAACGACCAGTGGGATTCACAACTCATATCACACTAGAAATAATGAGGAGCACCGTCGTGCCCCTTTACTCCAAGGAGAGAGTCATCCTTCTAAGTCCTTCTTCCAATACCTCCCGTGGATGCGCAATGACCAGGCGAAACCACCCTGCTTCCTCGCTCGCATAGGTCTTTCCCGAAGTAATGTAGACCTTTCTCCTACGCAGTCTCTCCAGAATCTCATCATCAGAGCGGCATGGAGCGTGAACTACAGCTGCCAGATTGACCCACACGAACAACGCAGCATTTGACTCGCGGAACGGGATCTGATGGGCCCGAAGAAACTCAGTCACGAAGCGACAGCTTTCAGCCAGACGGTGGCGGTTGAGCGCAACAAGACTGTCGACATACTCGTCACTCATGAGTAGAGCTGTGGCGGTGTTGTCGGCCAAACTGGAAGGGAAGTTAAATAGCCTTCGGTAAATTCAACGTGTTAGCTTAGAACAATTGACAAGAGTCCAAGCGGTAGTAAGGCGAAGTGGGGGTTAATTACGATATGCCTTCCGCGGAGGCTAGAAACGCCGGATTTTGCTGGCTGATTAGACAGCCAATTCGCAGGCCTGTTGCGCCAAAGTCCTGTGCAGATTGAAGTGAGCGAATATGTGCTTGGAAGCTGTTATCCACAGGGAGCGGGTCTCACTCCTTTACCTTACTCATTCCCCACACCACGTGCGCCATACTGGGATCCATGAACTTCTCAACCTCCAAAGATAGAACAGACGTGAATCTCACGCCGTGTTCCATTTGTGGATTGTTCCAGGTAGACAGTCCATAAATCTCGTCAGATATCAAGTGTATATGGTGCTTTCTGCAAACCTTCATCAATGATTCGAGGACGTCACGGGGGTAGCATTGCCCTACTCCAGGTATGAATTAGTCTCGAGAATGAGGCCCAGTGAATTGAATAAAGTGGTTAAACCAACCGAGAGGGTTATTGGGAGAGCACAGCAGAATCCCTTTGACCCTCTTGCCAGCCTCTCTAGCCCGAATGCAAGCCTGATCGTAGAGCTCACTCGCCTCGATGCCAAAAGGATCGACCAGTCCAAATGAGACCTCTAGAACATTCACGCTGCTGCAGTTTAGCCTATGCACTTTATCCATCGTCAAATATCCCCATGATACTTACCCAGCGCGAGTGCCAAAGAGATGTTGGAAAGTGGTCCAGTAAGGGCGTCCAACGAGCACATAATCTCCAGACTCAAACAACGACCAGGCACAGCATTCGACCGCATTGCTGGCTCCGGCAGTGACCACCATAACACTCGGCTCAAGTAAAACATGGGGACGGAACTGCCGATTCAAGAATCTGCACAGAGCTTTGTGCAGCGACTTGGAACCGGAGAATCCGTCTCCATATGTCAGTGCATGAGGGCTATCCAGACGCTATTCCTCCATTGCAGAAGTCCTGGATTAGTACGGAAGACAAATAGCAATTGACGCTCGTACCTGCGAGTTGATGAAATCCACAAGTTCCGGATGTAGTAATGACTACAATCATGGAGCTACATGTCAGCTCATAACGAGATAATCGGTGTGAGCGGGAGAAGGCTATATGGTAACTCACATTCTCTGCGAGTCCTAGATTTATGATACCGTCGGGATTGGACTCGGGATGCCACAGGTTGTCGAGCACATCGAAGAACAAGGGCCTCTTCTCTGCAAAAGAAACCCCTCGTGCTGAGATGGTCGTATTCATCTCGATAATCTCTTTTTGGAAAACCATAAGTCGTGAATATATCACTCAAGCTGTGTGACACTAAATATGTAACAATTAGATACGCCCACTGTGAGTCAGATGGGAGTATATATAGGAGTAGGGAATATCCAGAAGTGATCGATAAGGATTTATCTTCACAAGTCCGACGCCAAACCGACCATATCCGACCATCTCCGATCATTTATCTCCGAACGTTCTCTGGTTATCTCCGATCCTTGCCAAATCTGAGCGCCCTTACATGATGGTTCTTGAACTTGTATATCTGCCTCAATATACCCCGAATATATGAGTGATAACTAGGAAGGACTGTTTAAACATAGATTACATTACACCTTGCACCCGTGCTTTTTATCATTGCCAGTAGAGAAGGTACAACTTAGAGCCCCAATACCATCTTTATTCAAGAGATGTGATCTATATCTAAGTTTGTTTAGACTAACAACGTTGTATAGGTAGTTTCCGGCATTTAACAAGAGACAAGTGGGTTTTATTTTTAAAAGGATAGAAATATCTTGGGTATGAGTCATAAATGCTATATTCCGTCAGGGATTAACCTAACCAATACAACAACACTTTCATCAAAACATTTTGGTGGGCAAATCCTATTCAGATAACTACTGGTATTCTACGTATTTATTTAGCTGCTATTCTTGACATATTTTTTTTTGAATATCACTCTTCTGCCAAACTAAATTATAGTAGGCATGACAAATTGATGTCCATGCACTCACTGTATACCGAGCATATGATTTGAAGTATGCTTGGTAATGAAAGTAAACATCATTAGCCTCCCAGCTAGCTAGTGCTTAACAGTCAGGTCGTGTTAGTCTTGTTAACCTATATTGCTTTATGTTAATCTAACCTGAATATACCTTGTCTGTTACACTGCATCTCACCGGATGTCTGCCTACCAGTAACTAGGTTTTAAAACCAATTAGTTGGAACAAGCTTTACTATTCGCCTTTTTGAATCAGACATCCTTAGTTTCCTAGATCCATTCCGCCCAAGTCTCAAAGTGCCAATATCGCCTGACTCAACATTTATTCCGATATAGCTATTGGACACCATTTCCTACTATAGCTTCGCTAGAATGCCGTCTGACCGCAGTATGGAAAGGTGATTGCGGTTAATGTCGCTAATCGATCGACACCTACATGAAAGTCAATAATCACTTTGGAATGATGGATGTGTTTCTGCAAGACAGATTTACCCGGCCAGTGCCATAGTTATCCTCAGCTCATGTTGCAGTATATCCACCGCTAACTGCACACCACTCTGGCCGTTGTACTGCACAGTAGGCTATCAGTCAGCATTGGTACCCGCTTACTATACTAGATCAAGGGAGTGCAACCGCCAGGCCCCATATAGGGATCCTCCCTAAAAAGCAATGGTCCGCACCCATAGCAAGGGCTTTGAAGATGTCTGAGCCTCGTCGAATCCCGCCATCGACGGCTATTTTTATCCTCCCTTTCGCCACAGGCGCACATTCTCGGAGTGCATCCAATGTGGCCGGTATTCCGTCTAGCTGGCGACCTCCGTGGTTGGAAATAACAACCCCATCCACGCCATGTTGAATGGCAAGCTCAACATCCTCCACAGTTGAGACTGAAAACACAATATAATCAGCAATGTAGCGCATACACAGCAAGATGAGGATGTCTCTAGACTGTACCTCCTTTGATCCACACTTGCATGAATGTGGTTTGCCGAAGCCAAGGTATTATAGTGTGCCATTCGATACTAGCGTCTGGGCCTTGTATCAGTAAACCTTGTCACAATATTGAAAGAAATAACTTGATTCTGTGTATACCAAATTGCATGGCACTATTGCTCCCAAAGAATTCCTCTCTGCCCCTGGATAGTAAGTTTGGCCAGCACAGATTTTCCGGGATGATGAAGTTATTGCGGTGCTCATTGATCCTTTTTCCTAGCGTTGGGCAGTCTACTGACAGGAACACTGCTTTATAACCAGCTTCTACGTACCAGAGGATGAGAGCTGGAATATAGAATGAAACGAGGACATAAGGATAAAACATACCTTCAGCCTTTCTTAGAATGTCTTTCATCAGTGCTCGGTCCTTGAGCATTAGCAGGTGTATTGCATAAGGATTTCCATTGCCTTGCATTGCAACCTCTTTCAAAGATACAGTAGAGTGCATTGCTAAGACCATACCAAGGTTCTTTCTAGCAGCCGCTCGAGAGGTTGCCAGCTCACCATCGGGGTGCGCTAATCTTTGCATGCCTGTGGGCCCAAACGTAATTGGTAAGGCGACCTGGACAAATATTCAGCGACGTGTATAGAAAAAGGAGCTATGGTAAAATGTGAATACTTTGGATCCAAGGAATTCCGAGGACAGATCAATATTTTCGACGTTCACTAGAGTGCGTGGTCTGATCTTATACCGGTTGTACGCTGCTTCGTTCTCCTGCAGCCTGTCATTGATATAAGCTGCGGTTACCTTTTGTGTTAATGAGATTTGAAATTGGAATAGGACTATACGTTACTAGGTCCATGGCCCCTTCATCGTGAAATTCTGAGAATACTCTGTCAGTGAAAGAGAACTACAGCATTTGAATAGGTGTGTAGCACCTGCATAGCTCTTGGGCAGGTTCCGTCTAGCTGCATTTTTCAAGTCCTTAATAGAAAGGACACTTCTATCCTTCACTTCCTCGCGATTCATGTTTGTATGCACGCCCACGTGCCGAATAATGGCGTAGAATGAAAGGCTTTGGAGTAAGGATCAGAAAGGCAAGCTATCATAGCATCGTAGTTGATCCAAGAGATATGTGAAAGAAGCGGAGAGCCATGTCGCCGTCTGACAGAAATCTAAACGGGATAGTTATCCCAACAGAGTGGGCTGGATCCCACAATGACGCGTCAAGATGCCTCTGTTCAGTCTCCGGCCACTCAATGAAGAATTACCGAACAGCCTGGTTTGCCTTTTTTCCGTACGTCATATAACCCATAGCAAGTAAAGAGTCACTTCTATGGATAGGTGTCTCGCCTCCATACATTCCTGTCGCCCCCTGAGAGGCTAGGACTGGATCAACTGGGTGTATATGGTGGCCTTCTGCGTAACAAATGGTTGGTCTAGCGCTGGCATGTTGACCCAACCCAACGTCCATAGATTGGAACGCTAGTTGAAGCCTAATTTCGCGCCTGAAACAAGCATTTTGCTGATGTATAGTCTGTATTTGAAGTGGAGCCAGTATACGAAATTTTGGTTGAGCTATTTCAGTGTGTGCGAACTGGTCCACTGTCCCAAATATTGACCATGACAGGTCGCCACCTCGCTAAATGGCAGATCCCGGAGTCTAACCCCACAACCAAAAAGCTGGAGATTACTTCCTATGTAATCCCTTAGGTGTCTTTGCTTGGCGATCCTTGGGGCCTCGTTCTCTGGTTGATAGGTGGGTATCCGATCACTTGCCACCAAGTAGCTGGTGTTCCCACGGTTTTCAGGCGAATCTACATGCGTGTCAGAGCTGCCCCACTTAAAACAGTCCGACCAGTAGACTGGAATTAAACTCAATGCCGCAGGCGTCGCATTTCTTCAGTAGGTATCTAGTGGTTAGCCTGTTATATGCCCGCTACTCCATCGCGTTCGGACTTTGGTTCCAGAGGTTCTCTTCCACGACCGTGGATCAGAATGAGGCTCCCCACATTTTTGTCATTTAATACTAATTACACGGAGCACACATATTGAAGACCCACACTGAATGGAAGCTGCGTACGCGTATATCTTGAGTTAAAGGTACAAGATTTAGTTAAACGTCAATATTTGGCTTTTGTCTGGTCCTATCCTACAGTTTCACGTCTATGTCATAGTGGAAACTACAGTTTTGCTTGTTCTAAGCTTGTCAGAACTCTTCTGGGTGGGCCACCTCGGCTTCCGTTCATCCCACTACACATCGGTCTGCCTGTTGGTTTGTATGCCCATCGGGCGCGATGGATACTCGGGGCTCTGTGCTCAAGTATATCGACGACATACTGTCCTATAATTGGTAGAAATTTGAAGCCGCTAGGGCAGGTTAGCCGTCACAGCGTGTAGAGCGTGGCGAAGGCATGTGGAAAGGCCAGTAGTAGACGGTACTTACTGGCCGCTGTCTCCAGTGGCAAAAAACAAGCCAGCAATATCAGGGTGGTGATCGATGATAAAGTCCCCGTCGGGGGTATCAGAATACCAGCAAAGCTTGCGATTGATCCATGGGTGGTCCTTGAATTGAGGCAAGAGCAAGGTGAGACCCGCACGGAGAGCAGCGTCGGCCTCGTCTGGGATGAATTGAGGCTTGAAAGATTGCCTGAAGAGTCTTGGGGCGGAGGTCGAACTCCACGCACGGATGTGCACTCTGGATTCGGCCGCCAATGTTGTTTCATATCCATAATCATGCCTTGCCACTTTCAAGATGTTATCGCTAGTCGGTGGAAAGACAAACACTCCCGATGTCAAATTGCATGTCACCGGTTGCTTTGCTAGCTTGGCGGCTTCATCTTTGGACAGTTGAATTGACGCCACTGGGTGACAAGTAGAAACGACTGCCCCATGAAGATCAAGCAGATGGTTTGTCCATGACCCAGTTGCTAAAATCAGCCGAGCACAGGTCAGGGTCTCTCCAGAAGCCAGCTTGATGCCCACCAGCTTTTTCTCTTCCTGCAACAGTGACATGACCATCCCTCGTTTCCCAGTTATGAATGAGATGCCGGCCTTAGTGCACTCGGATACAACCTCTTGAATAACATGCTTTGCATTGACCCACCCACAGACCTTGTTAGAATAGCCATTGATATGCTGGGGCAAATCTCCATCAAAAAGTGGATACCTCGCCTTGAATTCATCTCCCCCTCTGAAGGTATGAACTGTTTGTCCAAGCAGCCGCAATGCTTGCTTGGTGCGTACGACGCGTGGATCATCGATTGACTCTGTCAGAAGAGCGAATTCACACTCGTTGAAATAGTCGTCATACTTTTGTCTCCACATCTGCAAAGCTTCCAAGCCTAGTTTGGCATAGAATGGATCTGCGTAGTCAACACGTATTACCCTGGAAATGTCGACACTAGATCCATCAGGGACTGGGGGCATGTGTCTATCTAGTACGAATACCTGTTGGTAGCCACGCTTTCGGAGTTCCAAAGCTGTGGCCAACCCAAAAACACCAGCACCCACGATTATTATGCGATCTGTTCTCGGGCATGATTTGTCAGGCAAGAAAGATGACTGCTGCATCATGAAGACACTAAGACGTTGAAAATTCCGAATCGAAAGAATCGTGTAGTTTGATATAGCGAGGAGCTACCGTGCTATGTCAGGTTTATATATGTCAGCATCCTTCGACGGGTCAATTTGTGCCCCATAAACAACACCGTTCCGTGGTCCATTGGCCCAATTCGCGGTACAATACACTACGACTTCACTTAACGTACCCATCCAATTTAAATCAAGGTCAACGTCATAGTGTTTCGAAGACAAATCCCGCCATTCTTTCTATTCTACTTGAGTGAACGGCTTCAATGAGGATCTAATGCTTTTAGTAAGACAGCTCAGACATTCTTTATTCTGTACTTTATTCACTGGGTTTTTAGAGGACAAAATTAGATAGTCCCCGTTATGTATTCTCAAAAGTCCAAACCTTCGTGAAAGAGGGTTAAGCAGATGTCTAAATATTGGATCCACACCACTTTCTTCCAATCACTGCGAACATCCTTAACTCGGGGACAACCCCATCAGAGTAAGCCGCTTCCATCTCCCGCAACATGTGAGAGGCTTTTGCATTGGCCTCAGCCTGGTTTCCAGTCTGTCCGCTCCGTAGGACTGTGACTGGCAGTATGGCTTGAAGTAACTGACTACACCAGAGCTGTATATCTGCATAGTGCTCGGGGGTTGCAAGTGTGCTGTATTCGTACTTGCGAAGACCTTGCAACCCAAGGTTCCTACCCTCCCGCATAAGAAGATCCGACATCCGCAGTGACAAACCAGAATCTACCATATACCCAGAGACTAGATTTATGGCTCTTGTTATCTCCACAGACGGTCGATTAGGTGCCGTATAGCAAAAGTCGGCATCTTCCCATTGGAGGTATCCATTTGGACCTATACACAATCCTTTAGATGCTACCGAGGTTTTATAGATAGAATCCCTTATAGGACAACAGACTTACGTAGTAGACCGGTGACATTTTCTAAAGCCTTAAGCAGATCAGGCTCACGAAGAGCCAAAACAAACAAGCGAATGTGAACAATATCATAGCGGCCCAAGTGTTCGTTTGGGAAAGGCTGGGTGACATCATGGATTGTAAAATCGATGTTTCCCTGTTCAGCAGGAAACTGATCACTGGAGATATCAAATCCATGTAGGTGGCAAGGTGGCGCTTCGGGAACGGAGTTCATCCACTTTGATAAACGTATCAACCATATCCTATAATATTGTTAATAAATGAAGAGTAGGATAGGGTGTACATAGGCTGACCCTGTGCCTGTGCCCACATCAGCAACATTCACACCATTCTCCATTTCAATGCTTATGGAGGGGTGCAACAGCTCATACCCCATGAAGTTGGCTAAAGTTCCATGCTGCATGTCTAGCCTGCATTCCGGGTTAGTACCCTACATCAACAAGATTTGCCTCAGACATACCGGTGAGACTCTGTATGATCCCTGTTGTTGAGGAGGTATAATTCCTGGTGAGCCATATTTCATCCTATGTGTACTGGAGAGTTGGAATCTTCATAAAGCCGATTTGCGAAAGGCTGAGTACATAGTGGCCGGGGGGGGCATTAGCAGCATTTAAGTAACGGATACGTCAGTTACCAAAAGTTGTGACTGGCTAAAAACCATTATTAAAGATTATTAAACAGTTCCTAGTAATTGTAAAAGTCCCTTAGTAGGTTATAGCTATTAATCAGTTATTATTTAATCATGTATTATTTTTAATATTTATTAGTCTTTTAGTAAACAGTCATAACCCTAGTTATATCGTCCATTAGAGATGTCGAAAGATATGTGGAGAGGTGGCGACGACTGGTGTGTCGGGTCGTAGATAGAGGATTTATCAAGAAGAACACAAACTCTGCTATGAGTATATTCGCATTCACTCAATCATTTGAAGATGATGTTTTGAAAACCTTAAGGCTTACGCTGCTTTCCATATACCTTCTATAGCAGTGCTTTTGCACTGCCCAGTACCCAGTGCCGCGGAAATATGTACCGCGGGAGAACAAACCCTATGCCCGACCACGGATACGCTCTTCGGTGGCAGCAAATAAGATGTTATCCCGGGAGCTCCATTTGACCCAATGCTTCGGTCCCATCAAAAGTGACTAAAATACCTCATAGTACTATCGGAAGTATACCGAAGCGCAAACAATTGTTATACTTTGCAATAATCAGGAAGACGAATGAGTTTTCAAGACTTCATGGTAAGCACCACCAGAGTGCTAGATCACGTCTGCTGTACCACGGCAACGTGGTGGAAATTGGGAGAACCTGTTCTGTTCTTCTTCTGCTTTCTGTTCATTGGCTATATCACTGTAATTTTTGATAGCACATTCCCAGTCACCTAGTCTCTGGAACGCTATTCTGCAATAACCCGAGCATACCACGGTCATCTCATACCTCTAGATCAAAGGAAAAGCTGTTTAGCTCGCCTTTTTACGTTCAGCTTACGTGTAGGTGCCGTTTTCGGAATATAGTTATGGGGCATCAAGCCCTACTGTGGTCATTACCAACTCTGGATATTCAGAGAGATGCCAATGCGTACTGTAGTCTAGGATGACGTTCTCGACAATGACCATAACACATAATACCTAGACGAAATGACTGTGTATAAAGGACCAAGAACACTTGGAGTGAGCTGTATATGACTTCCTCAAGCTTAACAATATAAAGATAACACCACAAGCTGAATCCCTTGTCCTTACCACTATTAACTGCACACTTAAGCGCTATGACTCTAGCCACTGTGGCCTTTGACATATTTCTCCGTGGCTCTAGGAACCAAAGGCGTGCAGCCGCCAAGTCGTTGGTTGGCTCTTTGCGAAGGACCGGCTTTGTGAAGCTGATCAATCATGGCCTTCCCCTAGAGACAATTGAGAAAGCGCAGGAATGGGTAGCCTTATCTCACCTCTATAATAGTACAGCTCGATGCTAAATCCCATACAGAACAGGAAGTTTTTCAACCTTAGGCCAGAGCTAAAGGCCAGGGTCGTCAATCCTCCTAGCCCACAGCCCCAGCGCGGATGGAGTTATAAAGGAGCCGAAACCACGGCCGGCCTACGGACTCCAAACCCCGGGAACATCCGGATGGACGAGAAAGTAAGTCATTTCAGCTTTTGTTCTACCTTTTACCGGGGTGGTTTCGTCAATTACCAGGAGTCTTGTAGAGGCTAACCTCAAGTGCTCATTTGTGACAGGAGAATTTCGATGTCGGCCCACCAGATGACACTGTATATCCGAACAGATGGCCAAATGACAGCCTTCCAGGCTTCCAAGCATTCACAGAGACATTCTTTGGAAAGTGTCAGGACCTATGCTTAGATATTATGTCGGCGTGTGAGATTGGGTGCGATGTGCCTGAGGGAACGTTCGTCAGGCGTTGTGTGCCAGCTTCCAGTGAGCTGAGATACAACTATTACCCCCCTGTTAGCCTGTCCCGGCTTAATGAAGGTACGACTCGTCGGGGATGGCCTCACACTGACTTTGGAATCATTACGCTGCTTTTCCAAGACACCAAAGGGGGACTGGAATATGAGGACCGTCAGCACCCCGGAACATTCATTCCTTTAGTGCGCGAGAGGCCTGATGAGATAGCGATCAACGTAAGCGACACTTTCCAACGATTAACAAATGACTTCATCCGAGCCGGTGTACATCAAGTCTTCCTTCCCCAACATCTTTGCTCTATGCCACAAATCTCCAGTGACCATGTCCTGCCCGAGCGACATTCAACTGTCTTTTTCTTCAAGGCTCATCGCGAGTGCATGGTGGGTGCTATACCAGAATTCGTTAACAAGCAAAACCCGGTAAAATATGATAACATCACTGCTCTTGAGTTCCATAATCGCATGACAGATATTTTGGTTAGCAACGCCAGTTCTCCTCCAACTGCCACATAGTCCTGATATGGGGCAGAGGAAATATATGAGGGTATTTGTGATGTAAAAGTTTTATTAGATATTATTCCGTCTCTAAGGTGGGGGATTTTATTTAGTTGTTCATTATTAGATGAATATTTGATGGATTCAATTTTATACGATGTACATCGTACATGAAGCTTTCCCACTAGATTGAAGCTTGCTCCATAACAACAGTTAGGTCTCATATTTAAGCACCAAAGCGTACCATACCTTGTTTAATTTAAAGGAATATTAATAGAAGCCAAGATACTGGTACACCATGAAGGGCATCGCGGTTCTCGCTCTGGTAACAGGAGATCAATATATAATATTGCATCTAGTTGTACACCTCCCGTTTTAGTTCGGCAGCAGCAGGGGATTGCAACCCCAGGAATAAAGAAATGGGATCGTAATAACTAGCAGCTCGCGTCGTGTAGTAGATGCATGGGGCCTTAAGGGAAGCACATGGCCATGAGGAACAGCCTAGGGGACTTGCCTCCTCTATGTTGCCTAACCTGTACGTAGATATTGACAAGTACATCTATTCCATAGGTTATGGGAGGAAGTGATACTTGTTGGGACTCCAAGGGCAATGCTCGTCGCAATCACCGACGGTTCGCCGAACCCCTGCAGGATGGCTTCTCTGAGCAGCCCACTGGTGGTCTGGAACAGACGCATTGCCAGATCCAAGACATCTCTCGGTGTAGAGGTCGTATATAGCGTGTCCTGACCCTTCATCTATACGTAAGGGTCCTTTCCGGTAGCATATCAAGCTAGTATTGCATATACTGCAGGTTGATATGTGCGGCGGCGTATAACCAAGTTCGTCATATGTGTTACAGACGCTGGCGAGCCACATATCGACCGCCCGGTGTGCACATCCCAAACGGGGTATCATGCACTCTTCTTTTCCAAGCTGCCCTGCCTCAATCGTGAACTTGTATTCCACTCTGACCTTCAGCATGTCGGTTTCGTCCAGCTCAGGTAATATCCGAATCTTTATCTCCGAAGATCCGTACTTCATGACGCAAGAGTGCCAGCAGAAGCGTTCCTGGGTATTGATACCACATTGCGTTGCCAGAGCTGTCAGAGACTGTTGTCGCGCTCGCAGAAGGTCAAAGAGATCCATCTTTCCGTGAAAGGTCAATTTGATGCATGGACATAAATCAACTACGCCAGCGAGATTCCCAAGATTACAAATTCGGTGTTCAGGTTGCTTTTTCTGTTCTCGCTGGGGAAAGCAGGCCACCATATGTAGCTTCAAGCATCTGGAACATGCAAGCCACCGCCTATTCTCTAGGAGTCTGATGAGTTGCCACCGAGGAGTCGCAAAGTTGTATTGGTTCCGATAGTGCTTGAAGAGCGGCGCAAAATCCGGAGTGAAACGCAGTAGTTCTGAGTTCAGAACGGCAACATCTGCTAAGAATAGTCGCGTGCAGGTCAAGGCAAGACACGCCCGAGGAATCACCGGCAAATATGATGTGATCTTCAGCAATAACTCTGTCGGCAGTTGAACAAGATAACAGTTACGCCCACTCTGTGCTTTTCCTTGCACCCGAGCTAATGGCCAGTGTCCTGTCTCCCACTTTTCCTTCAGACGCTGAAGGCTGTTTGCCATGTCAATCGAGAATGCTCGTCTCAGATGTTGCCTTGTAGAAGAAGATATTATCTTTTTGCTCAGCTCTCGAGCTGAGGACATTTCTTTGTCGCTATAGTCGCCCATAGTTTGACAGGAGTTCATTCTTGTGCCGAAGAACCAGGTCTGGTAGCGCTTCTGTCGTCGCCCGGCCTTGCAAAATATGACGATAACGTATGGAGCGCTATTTCCCAAAAAGATTGAAAGATTCTGTGTCAAAACAATGAAAGCAAAATGAGTAGAGTCGTATATAAAATAACCATTTTCTTCATTGGTAAGTAAAGAAGAACTAGACAAAGCGTCCTTAACTGAGACGCTCAGAATTCTTGACTTATCTCCATGAGGCGGGCCTTGGGGGTTGAACGGTGTCATATAGCACACAGCTCTGCGGTGCTAAAGCTTTAGTGTAGGGCAATAAATAATCCCTATTGCCTAATTTTAAGACATATTCTAAGCAAGGATCATGTGCAGGAGAATATATAAAATTGTGCCTAATATAGGCTTCAAGTACCCACTAAAGGTCCCTACTGCACCCTACTATATTCAAATAGTCCTGGATAATCCCCATTTCCCAGGTGCTCCATATGTGAGATGAATAAAAGCTGCATCTCATCATACGCTAAAGATCTAGCATGGCTAACCTGTGTTACTGACGCCACACGCTATGTTGATGCCATAAAGCCGAACTGGCTGCGCTAATCCTAGTCTAGTAACACTACTTTTAATTTGCGCGAGAAGCGGCAGTAATCCCCGCATAGGGCCTGAGCTTGCAAAGATAAATCAAAGTATACTTCCCTGTATTATGGAGGCAAAGCTGCATCTACTACATACTAACTAGTCCCACATACAGCATAGGATCCATAGCGAAGATACCATTTGGCAGGGCTGTCCAGTTATTAGCGTACTTGCTCCCGGTCTAGCCTTTCTATCCGTGAACAATGCAACCCTTCTCACAAATATTTCGCCGCTTCTCCACTTTGCCTTCAACCGAATAGCGCCGGTGGCTGTCACAGGGACTACCCTAGCTCAGTGGGGCCGCTGCATAGCGTACAACGAATAAATTCATTAGGCATTGGAGCGCCAGCTACACTAGCAGGGATAAAGTCGCATCATCACTTCCGAAAATGCCCACCTGCGGCATCCACTTGGGTAAGGAACATGGCAAACGAAATGCCCAAGTTGTTGATCACGAATGATATCAATATAAGGCCGCAGTATATAGCCAGTCATGAACGACGCGTTAATTGTATAGTAGGGGTCACTTTGGGGAGTCTGTGCTAAGTACAGAGACTTGTTCCGTTCAAACCAATGCCAGTCACTTCTGTCCGCAACTAGATTAGGTGCCCAATAGTTAAGGGTGGCTAGCAATGGGTTCCTGTTATCTCTTGCATAAATGTGGAGCACTGCTCAGCTACCAATACAGTAAAACGCCGTTATAAGCAACCACGCTATAGGGAATCTACGCGTTAATCGTTATAAGCAATCCAATTAGATGTCTAAAATAGGTTACCATATGAAAGTCCCTAAACCCCTGATACAGGGGAGTCTTATAGATCTATCTAGTTCTCCCTACAAAATTCCTTATAAATGAGTAGAGTGGGACCTTTCAACCAATTATTTACATTTGAGAAAGTCAATCGTCATGTGCTATACAATTATTTAGTTCTAAACCTTACCCATACAACATGTTAATAACGAAAACAAGTATATTCCATCACATTATAGCTTTCTACTAGGACACTCTCTACCACACAAAAGAAATAATGAATAAATTTTATTATAAATTATATAGAGTCTCTAAAATTCTGGTCATAAGTACGTAGTCTATAAAGGAATCTCACTATAAGCATACCCCCGTTAGAAGCATTTTAAATCGCTGGCTAAATTGATTGCTTATAACGGTGTTTACTGTATCTTCTTTTTCCCCGCATGAATGATTACAATTTACACCCCGAAACGAACCTAGTTAGAGTATACATAAATTGATCCCCAGATGTGCACCACTCAATAGAATGCATTGACCGTCCGTGTATGTATGCCCGCGAGAGCCCCTGCCATTAATCATGAAGGTTGCCGCAGGGCTATACTATATGTTTGCCTACGTTTTCACTCTACTTACTAGTGCACAATTGACATATCGTAGCCATTAAATTCAGTTGGGTGCAGGTAACTTCACAGGGTCCGGTCGGCCTGCATATACCAGAAGCTAAGAAAGTAAAGGTATACCTACTAATGTTCCCTCGTGTTGCATTGTGACGAGGCAAGGCTAATCGAGGCTTCTACTGGGGAGCCCGGTTTATCATTACCGCCATTTGAATATTCCACGTGCTCACAGGATTGATTGATTGAAGGCCATTGGATTAAGACGAATTATGGTGGAATAGCTCGTATCATTTACCTCATCATTTGCTGAAGTTTTGTGTTCACGTGATAGTGCACCTCTCCTTATACAAGCGCTAGATTGGTAGAACGTAGGCCCTTCACTGTAAACGTCTTCGCCTAGCTCCCGCACGTCTAACTGGCATCTATGAAAGATATCCGATATTTCATCGAGGACCTCATGTCGATTAGTGTCCGTCAAAAGACTATCTACGTGGATGAAACAAGTTCCGAGCCCATACTTTGTATTTTTGTATTTATCAATCAACCAACCCGGAAGGACAAGAGTGTTGGTACAGATTCATCCCCAGCTTCTCAGCAACGCGGAATATACTACCAATACATATGCCACGAGGACATGCGGCCGCCATGTGAGGTACTCGTTAATAGATCGTCGAAGCTCCCTCCAGCGTTTCGCTCTTGATCAAACTAGGTGCCACCTAATGAGGATAAGTAGTCGAGGTCTATGTTTACTCGTCCAGAGATAGGAGCTCAGACATGCATGGCCCTTGGAGGATTTGCTTGGTTGATTGCATCCTTTGTTACTTTGCTCACCTTAAGAAAGGGCAATCGTTCACCTCCCATTTATCTCCTTTTATCTAGGGTCATCATCTACCTATTTCGCAATATTAAACTGTATTGCACTGACCCTAAATATACTTAACAGGTTACTATGCGTAATAGTCGGTCTTACGATGCTTAGTGGTCCTTATATTTATCACCAAAGCTTTAGGTACGAGCGAAGCATATACTATACAAGCATATTATGGCTCTCTCCTGTTATATGCCTCACCCTTGGCTTTATAACATAGTGCGAGTAGTTGTATCATATGTTGATATAAAATACTATCCCATAAGTTCTCTTTCAGGGTGGTATATGTCTGATACTATAATGGCATGCATCATGCGCTTGGACGCATGACAGCCAAGATATGACGTTGTAGCAGTGCCGTGAATCTTTTAATAACACAGACTGCATTTGAACTGTCGCACTTTACGTCATTGTATTTTAGTGCAAGCCACACATTAAATTAGATTTGGTGAGACGAAGCAAAAAGTGCTCACATTCCATCTTCTATACAATGAGAATTCTGCCCTATTGCTATTATCCTCACAGGATTCTATGAGCAAAATAAGGCGATCTGATACAGCCGATTAGTACTGAACAAAGACACTATGCTTCAGGCAGGGCTTTACCGTGTGGTTCAGTGGTTATGAATCAGAAACCGTTTTCTAGTGAGGGAATTTGACTGCCAGTGTTTACCCTTCGCCATATTCATGTCTTGATTCGCGGAACATGTTCCTTGTTGAATGTTATTCTGGGTCCATCCTGACGCACATCGCGAAAATGGAATATTCCCTTAATTGGGGTAATTTACCTATCCAGGATTAATGAGCGAGATACCCTGCTAATCTTACATAGCCTCTCGAGAAAATGAGGCCAACTCGCTGTGCAAATTGCCGGAAGAACTAGTCGAAAATGTCGTCGCTTCTCTGGGTACTGAAGATACTGAAAGAGAATATCTGTGCGCCCTGCGACTGACCTGCGCGCATCTCTACGAAAAGTCATTGCATTACTTTGGACGCGTCGTGCTTCATACTGTACGTACAGACCTCGGCTTCATGAGCTTACAGCGACTTATGAGGCTGGCGGGAGACAATCGTTTGAAGGGTCATGTACACCACTTGCTCATCAGAGGAGTTCTGAATAGCCGCATGGGCTTCGGTTTCCAATGGATGAGATATAATTCGGGTCAGCTAAATGTGAAACAATCGCTGGGGGCTCGCTGGTTGCGTCATGTCCTCCTCTCATTGCCTAACTGCAGGTCGTTTGCTGTCCATCTCAACTACGGATGGAACGATTCATCGGAATATTCTCGCTTAGAACCCAGCGATGGTATAACCATGATCATGGACATTATTGCGGAGACCTGCATCCCTGTGAAATCTTTTTCTGTGTACGCTCATCCGAGCAGCAGCGGGTTTGCCTTCAATGATGTGGATCCACGGTGCCTTCAGTTTGACATCCTCAAAGACCCGACCTTCATCAACAGCTGGGCACACGTTGAGAAGCTAAAGTTCCACCATAATTTCATTCCCGGCAATATCGGCGAATGGGTAGCCAGTGTTATCGCCCTTGCCCCAAAGCTCAAGACGCTAGAGATTGGCTTTGACTACACCCCCGATGCACAGATAATCACGACCCGTCTAGCATCCGGGCCAGTAGTACTCTCTGAATTGCGAGAGCTCACACTTACCGAAGCGTCCGAAATGGAATGGGATGAGCTCCTGACACTTCTCCGCTTTATATGCCGCACTCTGCAATGCCTGAAGCTGGAGCGTCTTCAACTAAAAGGCGGCACCTGGATTCCTCTACTTTCTCAACTTTACCAGTTCCCTTTGCTAGAGGATCTTACCTTGTTTTGGCTCAGTACTAGTCAGAGAAGCGTTCTGCATTTCGTTTCGCTCACGAACTACCTCCGCGGTACTCTATCGGGCGAAAGGCTCAAGCTCGACTGCAAGCAGTTTCGGGGTATCTGGAAAACCGTCTATGTCGCGTATCGCGGCGCAAACATGCCGGCGTTGTTGAATGCTTTACTGCAGTCCGCACGAGATGATTAATAATTTATGTACACTGAGGGGATTTGAGTGGTCTGAGCATTACGGAATGGTATGATCTAGAGGAGATGCCTTGTTAATTCGGTTACAATGGGCATTGACCTATCACTTGGAGAAATGTGCAGGGTGTCAAATGGGAATAATACGATCGTACATCAAGAGATATTGGTAGAATGTAGAAAGGAGACATCTCAAAGAAAACATAGTTGTTACCGCAGAGTACTTCTAGCAGATAATAAAGCTGCTTTATCACTACATCTGTCCATTGAGGAGGTTCATGTGAAAGCTCTACCTACAAGTCCTTTGCAGTTATCGGAACTGTATAAGACAATTCCTCGCATCATCCTCTTTCTTCTTTGCCATTACTAGTCCACCCTGGCTTGATAGAAAATCAAATCACGTCTATTATTTCTTCTACTGCATAGTTCATTTATGTGCATATTCCAAGACGATCGAGCTTTGAGGTACAGTGTGGTTACTGAGTATATGGGCAAGATTTGACGGGAATTGCCTCCGAGCATAATTTCCTCTTCGCCAGGCCTAAAGCAAGAGCACTCAGGATTTATTAGGGATCAAGATGTAAATTAGACCTTGCGTTCATCGATTCACATTGCCCGTGCAGCATAAAAAAAAACAAGGTGAGGTTGGCTAAAAGAAACCGAAAAAAATAAACATCTCAAATGCTCCCACGCGGATTTGAACCGCGGACCTCATGATTACTAGTCATGCGCTCTACCAACTGAGCCATAGGAGCTACTTGATGTTGAAAGCAACATTAACAAGCTTTATATAATAAAATACGTATTTGTCTCAAGCCACGCATCATCTTGCAGGCAAACTACTACATGCACTGGGTAGGAAGATCCGAGCTTCACGATTCAGATCCCATTTGAAGGGTGCACACTTGCGCCTTGTATTTGTGTCTCCCCCTTTTTTTACTTTGTCGCTCCAGCTTCGTATCGCTCATCAAGTAAATTGCAAGTCCTCTGAATAGCACACATCATCTTGGTGTCACGGAATAAGTGCCAGTGTTGATACAAATATATATCCGACATCTGTAGCATTCACTTCCACCGTTTTTTATCCCTAAACAACAGTCAGACTACACTACCAAATTGAAACACATTCGCAAATAATATCAACCAATTCGAAATGTCTCACTCAACGAAATAAATACCGGGATATCAGATACACGCCACGTTGCAGGCCATAAGATATCATACAATCCAGGCCGGAAGAGCGATGTAGAATGATAAACATAACACAGCTAAACTTGATTTATTTATTTTAGATAGATAATTAACCTTATTTTCTAGGCCTAGTTTCCTAAAAATCAAGTCTTCCTACTACCATGAACGCGACATCTATATCTCACCAAAATAGTGGCATCCGGAAAGGGTGTACTCTAACGCATCTCAACGAGTCATGGTCTCACAAATACCCCACTTTATTTCCCCGCTCACCCTTTCATGCCGTCCGTCTTACCATCTCATTCCATCCGCAAAAATGAAGAAAAAGGAAAGCAAAGAAAGGGAAGGTTGGGAAGTATCCACCTAGCGGAGTTACAACGGTTGCAGCTTGTGAATGTTGCAAACAACCATTTAAAAGGTAATGATGCATATGAAATTCAGCTGAGCATGATCGAAGCAAGACTTCACAACTTGGCAACTCTTAGCTAAATACTTAGGCGAAATCCTACTCCGAAGAAGGTGAGATGGTTACGTGCTCATATTGGCTTCCTCATAACAGGGCTGTCGGAGATCCCAAATGGCCTTCCACTGGCTGTCAAGCTTTACCCCGCACACTTGGCATTTCATGCCAGTATCGCTTATTTCTCTGATCGACAATCAAATGTATTCAAAGTTTCAAACAGCGCCGTAAGGTTCTTTGATGTACCAGTCACCATTTGGACCCAAGAAAAGGAAATGCCATGACTTGGGGGGAAAACAGTAGGGCTACATTAGTCCCGTGATAAGATACCGGAGATACCCGGTGTACCTTCTCCCTTTCAGGAAAGGTTTCTTATATTCCAGAACGGGCTTATCAGTAGGCATGCGGGGAAATGAATCCGTCACGCCATCCAAGTCGTTGTATCTCTGTTATCAACCGGTAGCACAAGCGGCGTGGCGGTTTCTTATCTGGTCTGAGCACTAGGCGAAGCACTAGACTCTTGAACAAAAGAATGCTAGTCCTACCCCGTGATAAGCACTTCAAGCCTTCCGCTCAAAATGCTTATAACCTGGCCGAGATCATGCTGGGTTATCTATGTGGCCTGGCTTTTATTGATCCGCAACTCTGTGGACATTGTCCGGCAGAACTAACAAAATGGCCTCCAGAGAGGATAAAACAGATAAATTAGCCAAGTCGCAAATCACTACGAATGTGGAAGTAGAGCAGGGTCGTCTGGACGAGCTACCAGAAGACATTGACGAAAAAGTCGAATACGACTATGAATCTGAACGGTCTCCATTTCCCGAGGGTGCGTATGGCCATAGTCCTCAATTGCTTTCTGCTAACAACCCACATAGTTCGAGCCGTCGTACCTGAAACGGACGATCCAGAGCTGCCGGTCAATACTGTGCGGATGTGGGTTCTTGGTATTGTGTTCACAATTCTCGGATCAGGTATCAATCAATTTTTCTCTCTACGATATCCCTCCGTACACATCGTTTCGCTGGTCGCAGAGTTGCTTGCCTATCCATGTGGTGTTTTCCTCGCCAAAGTATTGCCCGTGGCAACAATCAACCTTGGCCCAGTGGGATCCTTTTCCCTCAATCCAGACCACCATTTCAATATCAAGGAGCATGCTCTGATTGTTATCATGAGCAATGTATCCTTCGGATATGGAAGTGCAGACTCCACCAGCATTATTCAGGCAGCAGGCCCCAAGTTCTACAACTTCGGCCTCAAGGCGGGGTTTTCAGTTCTGATCGTTCTATGTGCACAGCTGCTGGGCTTCGGTGTTGCCGGGCTGGCTGCGCCCTGGCTTGTAGAGCCGGCTAGCATCATCTGGCCCCAGGTACTGTCCAACTGCGCTATGCTGGAGACACTCCATTCCCGCGCAAACTCAGTTGCCAATGGCTGGAAAATATCCCGTTTACGTTTCTTCCTATATGTGACTGCCGGCGGCTTCATATGGTATTTCTTCCCAGGACTGATGTTCACCGCGTTATCCTACTTTACGTGGATCTGCTGGATCGCGCCGCGTAATGTCGTCGTGAACCAACTCTTCGGAATGCAAACCGGGCTAGGACTGAGCCCTATTACGTTCGACTGGAGTCAGGTCGCGTACAATACAAATCCACTTCTCTCCCCGTCGTGGGCGGCCGTGAATGTATTTGCCGGGTTTGCAGCCTTCTTCTGGATCGTCGTTCCAGGTATCTATTATACCAACACATGGTTCACGTCCTATCTCCCTTTGATGACCAGCGACGTGTACGACAGGACCGGCGCCGTTTATGACACAGATCGCGTGATCAGCTCACAGGGCACATTCGACCTTGAGGCATACAAAAGCTATTCGCCGCCATATCTGGGAGCCACATTTGCATTCGTCTATGGCTTATCCTTCGCCTCGATCACTGGTGTTCTCACTCACATCGGCGTCTGGCACTACAAGGACATCTGGGCTGCATTCCGAGGCAAGAATAGGCTCGACATCCATGCGCGACTGATGAAATCGTACAAGAAGACTCCATGGTACTGGTACGCAGGCATTATCGTCGCCATAACCGCTATCTCCATCGCCATGGTTGAGGTGTACAAAACCAAACTCCCCGTCTACGGCATTTTCCTAGCCCTCGCCATCCCCGCCGTATACATGATACCCTGCGGTATTGTCCAGGGAATCACTAATGTCAACGCAAACCAACTGAACGTTCTAGCCGAATTCATCGGCGGCTACATGTTTGAGGGCAAGCCCCTCGCTAACATGATCTTTAAAATTCTCAGCACAGATGTAGTCGGCCAGGGTATCTACTTCGCCATGGATATGAAACTAGGCCATTACTTGAAGATTCCGCCACGAAGCCTTTTTGTTGCCCAGGGCGTGGCTACCATCCTCGGGGCCCTTACTCAGGCTGGTGTCACCATCTGGATGCTGGGTCACATATCAGATATCTGTTCCGCAAACCAGCCCGATGGCTTCTCCTGCCCGAATGGTAGGACGACCTATTCATCCTCGGTTATCTGGGGCCTCGTCGGCCCTCGGCGTCTCTACTCCGTTGGGAAGATCTACTCTTCGCTTCTCCACTTTTTCTGGATCGGCGCCATTGCCCCACTAGTCACCTATGCTTTGTATAACATCACAAAGAAACAGTACTGGAAATACGTCAATTGGCCTCTTATCTTCACAGGAACGGCTAATGTTCCTCCAGGTGAGCTCCCTACACTTTCATTTTGCATATCAGTGTCAAGACAAAACTAACCTGTATAGCCACGGGAATAAACTACTCCAGCTGGGCACTCGTAAACTTCATCTTCAACCACTTCATCAAACGCCGCTTCTTCGCCTGGTGGACCAAATACAACTACATTCTCGCCGCAGCCTTAGACACAGGCCTCGCCCTTAGTGGAATAGTCATCTTCTTCTGCATATCGTACCCAGGCGCCGTATTCCCCAATTGGTGGGGAAACACCGTATACCAGAACACCGCCGACGGTGACGGTGTACCATATAAGCAAATGCCAGAGATTGGGTATTTCGGACCACCAAACGGAACATGGAGTTGATGGAACGTTTTCTCATATTTCATAATATATAATAAGCCACAGCAGCAGGCCGTTCATCTCATGCTATATACAACATAATTATACAGCTGTACACACCGGCCAACCGGCAACCGGCCGTCGGCGAACCCGGCTTTCCCTCTAAGCGAGCTTTCTGTACATCCCGGGGTATAATGTAACATAACCCTCTATCCCCATCTCCACATCCACCTCAATCTCCAAGTCTATATATATAGCATGCATATTAAGTTCCACCACAACAACTTACCTATCCCCAATCCATCATTCTGTGTAACACCCTGCCCGAAAGACCGCATATCCTTCCCTTAAGCAGAAGTGCACTTGCCATTCTTGCAGGCCAGTTCACCATCGCAATCATCGTGGCTAGAGCAAGAGGCACCTGTAAAATTCCCCAAGAAGAATAGTTTAGTTCAATGTTTATCCACACCAAAAGGCTAAGTACGTTCAACCCCAACATACCCTCACAGTGGCCCTCCCATTCGCAAGGCTTAGTCTGGTTATCAACAGAGCAAACACCCTTGATACAAGCAAGCTCATCGGAGCAGTCGTCATCACTTGAGCAAGAAGCACCTGAAGAAAAGAAAAAGAGAGAAAGAAAAAAAAATTTAGCCTCCGAAATCAATAATAGGAAAACATAACCAGATTTTATCCCTTACCCTTGCAGTGACCCTCCCAGGAACAGGTCTCTGCGTCTCCGTCAGAGGAACATTTTCCGTTGTTGCATGCGAGGTCGTCAGAGCAGTCGTCGTTCGAGGAACAGCTGGCACCTTTATTTTTTTTAATCCCTGGGTTTAGTGGTTTATTCTTCTTCTTGGTATTCTCCTTCGTCTCCTTTTTTGGAAGAGTCGGGTGGGGGGTTGTTGTTGTCCTCACCGGCACAGTGTCCCGGCCACGAGCAGGAACCGCCTGTTGGCTCGGGAATACTAGTTGTCGTCAAAGTGGTGGGCGGGTTGCCGCCGCCGCCGCCGAGGTTGAGGTTCTTGGCCAGGGCGCCGACGAGGCTGTCGCCCATGGAGCGGAGGGTGTCGAAGTTGGTGATGTAGTTCTCGTTCAGGGCGCTGCTGGGGAGAACGGCCTTATCGCCGGTGAAGACGATGTCTGATTTCGTGGTTAGAGATATGCCACCAGTAGGAGAACCATGAGGAATGATAAAAGGTACGTACAAGTGACATCGGCAGCGGTGTGGCCCTTGTTACCGTTCAAGTCCTCCTCGGGGAAACAGGTCCTGGCCATCAACCAGGAGGCTTCACCGGTGACCTGAGGGCTATCTCCGTTCGAGTCGCCGAAGATACCGTAGAACATCTTACCGTTGCTGGAGGTGGCATTACCTTAGCAGGTCCTCCCAGAACTGAAGGGTATCCTGGGTACTTGGCTTACCAGATTACGGCAGCGACGGCGTTTCCTTTAAGGGTGGCCTTATTCGCACTTAGGAAGTTCTGGGGGATGACGATAAAGGGCACTTCGTATGCGGACAGCGCGCCCCAGTTGGTTTCGGGTTGGCCGTCGGGGTTACCCTGCGTTTGTTAGAGACTTTTCCATGGTGGATAGAAAGCTGAACGGAGTTTCAAGAGTTGCTGTTTACCTTGCAGCCATGGTTGAGTCCATCACAGTCGACGTCCATGTCAGCGATGAAGGAGAAGGAGGCGCCCTGGTTGGTGTGTTAGCAATTGTATGCTGTAAGGTGTTGAACGTTACTTACCTCAGCAAAGTCCGCCCAGTCGCTGTGGATAGTGGACTTGGTAGAGCCCTCGCCGATAGGATAGGTAGCATGGGAGGGAACCTTGCTGGCCTTAGCAGCAGCAGCCTGGATAGCCGCAACAGGAATGGAGCTCGAAGCCTGGAAGAACTTCGCCGGGGGGCCTCCGTTTGGCTTGTTGTAGTCGGGTCCGTTGACCTTCTGGCCCATGGCCGTACCACAGACGGCCAGGGAGAGGGCGAGGCGGCTAGCGAAGTTCTTGATAGGCATGGTGAATAAGTCCGTACTCAACAGGAAAGCAAGACTGTGGTTGTAGGCGTAAGATGTTTGTTGACATGGGCGCCATGGTTGGATTTATAGACGGAACAGACGTGTAGGAAATTGGTCATCCTCTATGGAACGTTCCTTTGTTCTCTAACTCAAAGTTCGTTTCGTGTGTTACGGGCTAATTTCCTGGCCGTTTCGAGACCGTGTCTGGGCGGATATAGTAGACTCTGACGACAAATGATTCGCCAGAGCCCTCGCCACTGGTACGCGAAGGTAGCACTTTGGAACGCCTCCAGTCGCTAAGTAGGATGTCTCACCGGGTTGTCCTGTCATGCTGCGAGGATGAAGCATGCGGACGACTAGTTGCAGAAGGATCATATGAAATGTGCTTGAGTTGTCTTTGCGCGATGCATACTAAGAATCCATTAGGTACTAGTCTGTCGGCACTGCCGATTCGGCAGGGTTCCGATGGGCAGTCTCCACAGTTGGGGATTATTCATGAGTCTCCCCAAAATTGGTTCCATGACTAGTTGCTGTCCAGATCCACCGGATATGATCTCCGACGACATTAAGTGATTCCTGACTTCAGAGGATGGTCACTGTTTGACAGGGTCAATTTTGGGTCTAAAATGTTGTGCAACACAACTGCCGCAGAACAAAGAAACAGCACCTGTGCTGCATGGAGTGTACACCTCAGACCATTTCCCAGAACTGTTAGAATGTACTAGCAGCATCTTCATGCAAGTGTAGCCATAGCGCTACGTTAGACTGGTGTAGGAACTCCCCCGAGGTTCCTGAATAGGTAGGTGTCAGTAAACAGCAGACTTTACCCAGGGGTCTCGCCCCGACACTAATGCTAACGGCGCGATATGAGGGGCAAATTGGTTACAATGTGGAGTTTCAGGGTGGAGATTCGATGAACTACGGCGCGAAGCGAGAGCGATTGCCGAATCCAGTTAATCCTTGTATCGAATGATTTTCCCGAGGTCCACATGAGAAAAAAAAGAAGAAAAAGGGTCCGATAGCAACAAAACATATACAACTCGTGGTGCTGGGGGATAAATAAACATTGCATTCAGTCTGCATAATGCAGGTACGCGCAAAATCTGCTTGTCTCTACGTGTCACCACTGGCCAACGGGGTCATGTGATAGCGTGTTACCCTACAGGCGAACGGCGGACAGCTCATTTTCTGCAGAGGCTGGACGCTTGCATTGTTGGGTAATTAATTGGGTCCAGTCTCGGCCCGGACAAAAGAACATGCCATAGTCCAGTACGATACGAGGTTACATTGCATGGCCGCCCCAGCTGGTCCGGGCTTGGCATGCAGGAAAATAACTGCTTATTGCCTGTTCGGACCCTGCACACGTTTCCACTTGGACCATTAATCGAGAGCTCGGAAGGGATGATCGTGAACACCTCTGAGTATGCCGGCAAATGACGATCCTGGGAGAACCTCGGCAATGAATTCTCCATGTCCTTACTAGGGGCGGCGGCGAAGCGGGACTTTCGCCGAAATGCATATATAATTACCGCACGACCCAGAGAAATGATGGTTGCAGACTCCTTGTAGACGACCACAGACCTCGTATCATCTCACAATGCAGTTGTATAAGCTCTTCGCTGTTCTGGCAGCCCTGCAGCCGGCTCTTGCTAAGAGCCTTGTGGACTTCTCTGCTGCTCGCGGCGATAACCCTTCTATTCTGGGCGTCCGCAATCTGGAAGCGGCGCGCAATGATAAACGAAGCGAGAACAGCAATGACCTCTATATCAAGTTGGATAAGGATCCAAAGGGCACTCCTGCGCTGCATTTCCACCGCAAGAAGGACTATATCCGTACCGAGTACCACTCATTGAAGGATAAGATTGAGGTCGATAAGACCTATTACATTGGCTACAAGTTCTCCCTGGGAGCTATCCAGCAGAGTCTGATGATCTGGCAATTGTAAGTCATTTCCTTCTATATTATCAACGAAAAATTAGACTTCAAATACTGACCCGTAACAAGCAAGGAATACTCTGCCAACAGCCACGGCGGTGCTAACATTCCTCTCTCACTGGAATTCAAAAGCGGTAAACTAAACCTCCAGTACCAAGCTTCCGGTGATGCGAAGCGCGTGTCCCAGTGGTCTAAGGAACTGAAGACCGACACCGTCTACTCCATTGGCCTTGTGATTAACACCTCCCGCCCCGGATGGGTTGAACTCTACTTCGATGGCGAGCAGCAGACTTTCGGCTCCGGCAGCACCAGACTGAAGGCCAACACGTTCCCCGGCCAGGCGGACCCCAAGTTTGGCGCTTACCGTGGTGAGGAAGTGCAAATCGACACCTATGTCTACAACATCCAGATCGGAACTTCCATTGATGATATCAAGGAGGCTGCTGGACTGGGCTCGTCTCCTAAGCCTACCGCTACTTCTAACCCCACTCCTTCTCCTACTTGCGCCTGGGAGGGTCACTGCGAGGGTATGTCTTTTCTTTGCCGAGTGCTTCGTTAAATGCTAACTAAGAGATGAATAGGTGCTTCCTGCACCACGGAGAATGACTGCTCTGACGAACTCACCTGCAAGAACGGAAAGTGCACTGCTGATGGAGCTGTGCCCTGCTCTTGGGAAGGCCACTGCGAAGGTATATCTTTCTTTTCTCGCTGGGTATTTCCACTCAAAGTATTAACCTGAGTATTCTAGGCGCCTCCTGCTCCTCAGAGAATGACTGCTCCGACGAGCTTGTCTGCAAGAACGGAAAGTGCACTGTCGACGGAGCCGTGACTTGCTCCTGGGAGGGTCACTGTGCCGGTATGTATCTCTCTTCTTACCTGACTTGTTCCGATTAACTAACTGTGCGTAGGTGCCAAGTGCAGCACTCATGATGACTGCTCGGATGAGCTTACCTGCACCAATGGTGTCTGTGCCTAAATCTCAGTATATTAGGACTTGTGTGTTAGCCCCTTATTGGGGTGAATATCTGATGGCTTGATATGAATAGAATAAAATACAAATCATTTAAGCAATTTATGATATGAGCAAACATAGTAATACCAGTCTATCCCAACGCTAAACCCCACGATAGAGCAAAGACAGCCTGTTTTAAGCCGAATAACTTTTCAGGCATTGTTGGTAGAAAAAATATGCCGAAAAATAGACATAACACCATAAACAAATGTCGAACAAACAAAAGGTACAGCGACACCGCTCCACAGGCCAGTGAACAACCCCAGAGGGATGTAATAATATTGTATCCAGAAGATGGGACATGTTATTGACGTGATCAGAAAATAAACAAAGAAAGCCAGGCGTGCTCGCTGGTAGGCCTTTCCTGGATCAATCGCAAGCCTAACGACTGACAAGCGATGACGCTGAGATAAAGGGGCTGGGTCGAGATTGTCGATGGCCCAGCTCCAAGGTATAGGGAGGAAGGTGGCCAGGGCGATGAAGACCGAGATCACGGGCACTACAAGGGAATCCAACAGAATCCCGTCGGTGCTCATATCCATATCTCCTTCTGGCAGTTCGATAGCGGCAGGTGGGGGGAATATAAGAGATATCGTTGCAGAGACGACTCCGATCATAATAATTGGTATGAGGTATAGGATATTGAGGTACCAGGTAGTACTTCGAATGTCAGTCCTACAAAGCCTGATAAGTTGGGAGGATATTGAATCTGCTGAGCCCTGTCTGGTATCACGCCTTGTTGGTGGTGACTGATTGTTGGTTAATATGTCTGACAAGACATTCTCCGGGGAATCCGTGGCTGTCTGATGCTGGCCGAATTCCATAATATTGTTGGTTGAGCTGGGTTGCTCTTTGCCCGCCTCAAGAACTTCTGGTAGCAGGGATTAGTCGTAACTGGACAAAGTCTGTTCTTCAATTGGATTGTGGCACTACCTGAATATCCTTCAGCTATCAGAAGGGCAGGAACAAGAAGTAGTAACAAGGGGACCAACTGACCGAAGCCCCACGAGTTCTCTTCCGATACATGATTATCGCGCGCGCGGCTTAGACGAATAGTTCCTCATACCAATGAAAATAACAGCCATAGCAACTAATCAAACCTTGTTAAAGCCGAACCACTTGTTGCCATTGCCAGCGTTCTCACTTACTCCACAGATGGCAGAACCAAGAAATTGTAACAGGAATCGCACAAGGCAAAGACTAGCGAGGGAAAAAACCACCAGCGGGAAAGATATAGCTTGCACGAACTTTGAGGATGACTCCAGTCTTTGACACGCCCACACCAGGCTTTTGACCCACAACCTTCCCGAGGACTTCAAAATGCTTCTTGAGAAATCCATGGCCGTTGGAGACATCTGTATAAAGCGAGTCACCAGACCGCCGAGGAGTAGGATCTCGGAGACTAACATAATGAACACTTGTGCTGGATTATTTCCTAAGGCGTCAGGCCCAGCCTTGAAGTAGCAGGCGATTGGTATTGCCATATCTTTTAGATAGCCAGTCACCTTGCCCATGGCAGTCAGGCTAATGGTCAGCATGATTGCAAGTCCACTCATCAGAGTTACTCGGATGTACCAGAGCCATCTCTTCTTTGCAAAATATGGTGCCAGATATGGCAGGGTCGCAATATGGATAATTGAGGAGAACCAGGCTAGACTGGTGACGATATTCCAATGGGAGGTTGAAAGGCCATCCTGGATCTGAGAATAACCACTGATCATAATGGCGAGCCCCGTAACAAGCTGCTGGTCACTCATACTTAATATCAACTGGGATGAGATTTAGTCCACTTGCAGACTGCAGCCACCACGCTTTACGGTGATGCTCACAGTTTCTAGAGGTGGGCCCCAATGCGAAGAAGGAGTCCATTTTAGAGCCCGGCATATTCCTTCTCGTAAAAAACAGTCTAGGTCGTTTTGCCGATGCCTAGGATTCGTTCTGGGGTTGGGATGCACTGCAATATAGTGAAATACTAAAATCAGCAGGGTTATCCAAGCTGTCAGAAGAAAGCTAAGGACGACCTGATATAGGATTAGATCGCAGTTTGAACCTATTATTTAACAGCTCACTTACACCGATTCCAGAAATATCAGGATTTGGTGGGACTGGATCTCCCCACCAGACTAGGCATTCCGGGTCGGAAATACCGATTAGAGGTCCCACGGGCCTATAAACCGACATATCCATCGTAATTACCACCATGATGGGGTCTAATTCTCGAGTACAAGTGGAGACGAAGAAGAAGGAGGAGGAGGAGGAGGAGGAGGAGGAGGAGGAGGGAGATCGCATAGCTGCGCTGATTGAAGCAGGAATCCCTTTGCAAAAGGGCGGTGATCGTGACGATGATCGGCAAGAGTGATCGTCATGACTCGTGATCTTCACATCCAACAACCAGTTACATTGCTTAAGGTTCGAAAATTTCGACGCTGCTTATGCAGGGGAGGAAGACGAGGCTGCCGTGCTGTTTTATCTTCGTTATATTTTCGTTCAATTACCAATCTTTCTTTTTTTCCTTCTTGTCCTTTCCTCTAAAAAGGACACAATTTTTAATCTACCGACCGAAGTGCTGCTACGTTTCATCTTATACATCGAGACAACGTGTGAGGGCGTCAACTTTCAAGACTAAGACCGACGACTTAGTTGTCCCAGACTCCACCGTTCGCAACGTGAGCCAAGGCCATGCAATCAATCTAAGTTATTTAAGCAATCTAGGTACGAGTAGGCAGTGCAATTGATTCAGGTTAGTTGGGTAATTTAGGTAATCTAGGTATTGCGATCAATTCAATTAGTTCAGACAATTAGGCAGTGCGCACGCCTTGCCAGCTTGAGCTGACTCCAGTAAGATGAGAGAGAGAGAGAGACGAGAAAGGTCAAACAACAGTTAGATCACACAACATATCAAAGGTTATACCAAAACCCTACAACAGCATTAGTATGACTGTGCTCACCCAAGGTGAGTTGTGGATATCTCGCTGCTCTTAGTAGCTGTTCAGAGTACTGTTCAGAGACCCGAATATTCTTTATCTAAAAGATTAGAAAGTATATTTTTACTTCTATACTAAAGACATTATAATAGTAATAAGTAGAATATAGTCTATTATATTTTCTATTCTATACTTATTCTTTAACTGAGTATTTCTGTCAAAGAAATACCTACTATTCAGGGTAGAAGACCTGTCAACTAGGTAAGGGGTACGCAGGCAAAAAGCTAAGCAGTAGATACTATATGGATAGAAGACTGATTCTTACCTTCTTCTTCTCTTAATAGTAGGCTAACTTTATATATAGAAGAAATCTCTTATTCTCCTAACAAGATAAGACTGACCAGGACCTATTATACGCTATTGAAAAGTCAATAGATCTGTGATCTGTCGTCGCTGTTCGGCCTCCGAGCTGTGTATGTATAACGGGCAGGGTATACGATATAGTTTATTATGCAGAGTTATTATCGGATCTGTGACAATTTCTTTCAAGACTATTATAAATATTTTTACTATTAATTGGTATTCTTTTTCTCTAATAGTAAAATTAGAGACTACTATAATATCTGAAAATTTTAAGATAATTAATCTCAATAATTATAATAATTCTGAAATATAAAGATCTATTTTTAACTATACTAAAAGAGAATATAACTGAGCTTTTAAATACTTTAATATATATAACACCTAATCTAAATCTACTAATTACTACTTATTATATCAGTTTTATTATAAATTACATAGATACTATATTACTACTAGATATCTAAATTTATAAAGATTTTATAAAGTTTCTAAAATAGAATTTAAAAAAATATCTTAATAAAGATAAAACTTCAGTTCCTAATATTTTTAGTAGAATAAAAAAAGATCTAGTGTCACCCATCCATGATTGGGGTAGTGGCTAAGGATTGGCTGTTGGGCGTATGCCCTTGAGAGTATTGTAGAAGTTGTCCTTTCCATTGTATAGGAAGAGTAGACCGATAAGCGGCTGCGCTCACTGCTTTGGCAGAATTGCCGGGTAAGAGCTACATTGGCTAAGAGATATATCTACTCAATCTATTATAAATAAACTTTGAGGTGCTTTCCCATACTCCACAGGAACGCCCAGAGTTCTGACATAACACGTTACCTCTCCTCCAGAGTTACGAATAACCCAATCAATATTTCTCATATAGCACGGCGAAAATGTGCACTGCATCATGCCCTGCCTCCGATACTGCACAACGGGACCGACGTAGCGGTTACTATATTATGGTTTATTGGTGAATATTTATAAAGAAACATTATAGAGTGGTTTATTTACGCAAGAAATTACCGTAGATGGCTTGTAATCAAAGTGGCAGACAACCCAATCCAGACCAAAGACGTGGCGAGCTGAAGAAGCTGGGCTCATGCCGGTAAATACAGCAGAGGATGCCGGAATCGAGTTTATTGGCTTAGGGAACTGTGAGGTGACCCACATGAGCACAATACTATGCGTGTACTCTGGGGGAGGTAGTTACCTCGTAGTCAGTGACCTTTAATGAGATGCAAAGGAGAGAGAGAGAAAGAAAAGAAAAACGGAAGAGACTTAGAATTTAAATTATGGAAACCTTCTGTAGATACCGATCATTCATGCCTCTAGTCACTGCTCAATTATTCTACCAGGACCACTAACAGTACACACCGCCAGAACAGCCAAAAACAAGAGACAAAAATAGAATTCTAAGCTTGAAGAAAAAGCCCCACGCCGAACGGCTGCAGATATCTCAAGCTGATGACTTCAGACCAAGCGCTTGGAGGTCCGGTGTGCCATCCGGTCCATTTGGAACTGGCTCGCGGCCATCTTCCGGGAAATCACCGTCAGGGGCAGGCCCACTGTTGGGAACGTCAGACAGACTGAACGGTTTGGTTTCCGTCAAGTGGAGATTATTGTGACGATTCGATCTATCCAAGTAGAATTTCTTGTCGTTGCCGTAAATATCATAAATATTAAAGTAACACCAGTAACTCCAGAAGGGCTGGTAAACAGACTTTTTGCCAGAAATGTGCCAGCGCGTCACAGTGAGCACATGCTCGCCCCTTTGGTTGACGCGGATGTTGGTATAGATATTCCCAAAATCCGATGTAGCGGCTCCCACTTTTTCGCTTTTCTCGGGGCCCATCGGCCAGGCAAAACACCAATTTGAAGTCTTATCGTCCTCCACAATAGCATAGCAATGCTCTTTGCCGACCTCACCGCGTCCATCTTTTATTGTACCAGTGATGGTAGCTTTCTTGAATGGATGTATCTTGCTGGTAAGATAGTAATTGTCTTGGTCCCAGGGGAGCTTCAATTCCCACGGAAGACCAATGTCTATAGGGATTGTGCCGTTGGCCGTGTCTTCTCGCTCGAATTTTACATCATCTATAGTGTAGTATGGACGTGGCTTCGCGTTGATGTAAAGACTACTGTCGTTGCTGCCCGATCGCGTAGTTACTAGCACATTATCAGGCTGTAGGACACTTGCGCCGATTCGCATGTCCCCAACTTCGGTTGAGTGGACGTAGAGTGTGTGGGTCTGAAAGGTTGAAATTGGGCGGTCTGCCATTTGCCCACGGGGCTCATCAATGGCCTCGTCACTCTTGGATGACGATGGAAAGGGTGCGGTATACCCAAGATCGTCAGATCTATAATGAAAGGGTCCGGAAAGAGGTTCGTCGGTATGATAATTTGTTATCTTGACCCGCTTCAGATCTTCTGGGGTCAACTGGTAGTCCTCCTTGTCCTTACGCCCTGTGAGCACAACATGTACAGGAACTTGCATCCTTCCGTTGGCGAAAATGTTCAATGAAGTCGAGCCACTCGTTGACTCGACCTTGATTGAATTGACGGTCCACGACATTTTGAAGCTGGCAAATGGCGTGTGCTAATTAAAGTCGGAAAAGAAATGGCGGGGCTTCTGTGCTCAGGGCTCAATGAATGAAAGAGGCTTGGAGATGATAGTGATGAGGGAGGCAAGAGAAAGTCCTCTCTAAGGCATATATATAGCTGAGGAATCCTTCCATTTGATGATTTCAGCGACAACAGCTGTCCTCTAAGAGAATGACATGTCGAGTGGAACAAGTGGGTGGAGATTGCGTACACCATAGGGTAGCGTTGCTGCGGTGGTGCCAATAGCAGAAAAGCCTCATCGCCGAAAGCAGAAGATGATGACCAGCAGAGACAGTACTTGGTTGAGGAGAGAGGCGTGATAATACAGCTGAGGTTGCAATGGATCGCAAGGGCGGGAATGCAACATGAACCAAATGGTGAGGGGTTGGACATATCTCATGTATGCAGCATGCCGGAAGCTGCAAATCAACATCATAACTTACTTTGCTGCCCAATCCATCATGACATGTCTTAATTTTGACGTCCTGAATGCGCTGAGGGACCTAAAGTCGGTGAACCCCGATCAACCGTCACGTCATCAGTGCATGATAAGTCTCTGGTCATCCGGAAAGGAAGATTCACTCAGCTCTAGATGGGCTATGCCTGTCTGCAGCGTAGCATCGCATTTGGGCATAAATAGCTTCTAAAATACGATCCCAGCCATCATTCCACTTCCCTTCTGAAATCCATCCAAAGAAATGTCTGTGTCACAAAACTCCATCTATTCCCAGGGCTTCAACTTTGGGTCTTTCCTCGAGAAGGGGGTAGACCCACGCACTGGCCAATACACCTGCTCCGTTGACCTTTATCAAGCGCCTTCTGAGTCTCGCAACTGCCCACCATTCAAGCTCTCACTCAACTACAGTCCACTAAGTACCGAGAATGTCGGCTTAGGCAAGGGCTGGTCTCTCAACTTCTCGTCATATAGAGATAAAACCCTCTGTCTCTACACCGGGGAGAGCTTCAAAGTCATCGAGACAAGTCAGGAATTCACCGTGGCAGATCAAAAGCTGAAGAATTTCCACGCCACGAAGGTTGATAATGACTATCAAGTTGTGCATAAATCCGGCCTAGTCGAGATTCTCTCGCATTTCAAAGATCTATATGACCGATCCGTTCCTATCGCACTGTACGCCCCTACCGGTCGCTCTCTGCAGTTTGAGTGGAAGCCTAAAGGAGTACAACCTCGGCTCCAAAAAATCTGGGATGGCAGCGAGTGTTTGCTAGAGATTACGTATGATGATGCTGAGGTGAAGGTCACTCGTGCACCAGATGCTGCCGAGAGCAGTACGTTCACCCTGCTTCTGCGCGATGATCAGTTGACCGAGATCCATACCCCTTTGGACAACACGCGTCCCTGGACATTTGCATATGCATTTATGAATGGGTTCACCTGCCTGAACGAGATTACCAGTCCAACAGGCCTTTACGAGAGGATGAACTATAAAGAAAACGGACACCGCCCGCCAACTAAAGCTCCTTATCCACCAATACCTTATGTCATTTCTCACTTGGTGGACCCGGGGAAGCAGCAGGCTCAAACCGAGACACAATACAGCTACTCGGACTTTAATTTTCTTGGTTATGGCAGCAGCCACGACTGGAGCAGCGATGGAGATAACCTGTACCGGTCTGCGAGTAATTACCAGTACACTTCGACTGTAAAAATCGTGGGGGGGTCAATTACGGAGTATGTATATAACAAATATCATCTCCCCGTGTCGATCAAGGAGGAGATGGGTACCAAGACAAAAACACAGACGTTCACATATTACGCTGACGTGTACGATGGTTTCGAGAAGCAGAAAGAACAATACCAACTACCGAATGCTGTGACTACAATCTACTGCGACGATGCGACCGAGAAGTCTCGCGAGGAAACTATCAGTTACGTCTTTGATGAATGGGGGAACCCCACTCAGGAAGTTCAATCGAATGGCATCACAATCGATCGTACTTACTATTCCCCAGAAGAGGAGAGGGATCCTATTACAAAAGAGGTTCTTTGTCCTAAGGACCCCCATGGCTTCCAGCGGCATCTCAGGCTAGAGACTGTGACCCCAGCGGCAAGCAATTACTCCACACCGACACGCAGCCAGTATTATACGTATCTTGAGGTTGAGACAGCCATCAATGCCAAATCTAGCCGGTTCATCGCAGTTAAGAAGCTAGTTAGTTTAGAAGAATCAAATATCCTCAGCACCACCGAATACCAGTACTTCAGTCAGCCATCCACTAGGGACCACTGCCGAATAAAGCGCCAAACGAGCTGGATGTCGGACGATCATCCTTCAACACAGGATTGGAGCTATGAATACCCCGTCAGTGAACAGATAGAACAGACCATAACCACAACTAGTTGGGATAGTGTCACTATTCAGGAAAAGACTGATTATTCCCTGTCTACCGGGTTCGTGTTAGCTCGCAAAGACCAAGCCGACGTCCGAGACCTGTTCGAGTACGACAAGCTCGGCCGTATGATCAAGGCCACCACCGCTGTCGGTAGCCTGCAGGAAAGCACACGCTGCCATGATTATGCGCTCAAGGAGGACTCTGAAGCCTACTTGACGGTCACAGATTCTAAAGGTGTGCGAACATTATACTACATCGACGGCTTGGAGCGTGTTACCAGGGTGGAGAAGCAAGACGACGATGTTTCCTGGAGCCCCGAAAAGGCTTACACGGGGACTTTTCGCCCGGTGCAGGAAAACACGTATAACACCCTGGGCCAGTGCATAGAAACCGTCGAGATCGACTGGCTGCGAAGGAAAAATACGTCTCCAGAAGAGCAACGTAGTGCTGAAACAATGGAGTATGATGACTGGGGAGAGGTTTGGCGAACGACTGATAGCGGTGGGATGGTGACCATTAGCCTCGATGATCCAGTCAGCTTGACACGAACCGAAGGCTTCGAGGGCGAAGGTCAGAAGAAGACATACTTGAACCATTTTGGCTCACCCGTCAAGACAGAGCTCTTGGACAAGGACGGATTGGTGCACAGCCAGGTGGAGTATTTCTACGATGGTCTCGGCCGTCTGATCGAAGAAGCAGATGTATATGGCCGCGTCACGAAGTATACACCTGACGCATTTGACAGGATCACTGAAACAACCTGGTCCAGTGGCCGTGTAATTGCTGCTAAATTTTCAGCCAAGAGTGCTGCGCTCCTACCTATCTCTATTACTACAAATGGTCTCACCGTGGGAGAGCAATCCTTTGATGGACTGAATCGAGTGACCAAGAGGACTGTTGGCACACGAACCACAGATCAAATCTATGAAGGCAACTCTCCCGAGCCGACGCAGATGATCACGCAAAAGGGCGAGCGAACTAGCTTCACATATGACCCAAAATTAGGCTACGCCCTCACGTCTCGTGCCGGCAATGAAAGCGAAGATAAATATCAGTATGACGAGCGAACTGGGGCACCGGTACTTCTCGAAGGTACTCACAGTACGCACAACCTCGAGTATCTTCCCTCAGGTCTCTTGGACAAAGAAACCATTCGCATTCATGGAGAAGATCTGTGTGCACAATTTACCTGGTCCATGGCCGGGAAGTTACAAGGCTACATCGATGTGCACAAACAAGCATTTGAAGCCCAGTACGACACTGATGGACGAGTCAAGCAATTACTGCAAGGCACACTGAAGGCCTCTTTTACCTATGGCAAGGCGAATCGAGTGACACAGATGCAGGTGCAGGATGACCAGCGTGGTACTGGATTAACGACTGATTTGACACATGATGAGTTCGGTCGCGAAACCCATAGAACAATTCTGAAAGCGGGGAAGAAGCTCTACGAGCTGGTACAGTCTTATAATGATGGCAGTCTACTTAGTGAGCGCCATCAGCGTGACGGAGATGACAATGTGCTACGCTCTGAGACCTTTAAATATGATGACCTTAACCGCCTTACTAAGTATACATGCGAGGGTAGTGAAGCGCCCATTGACGAAAAAGGCCGCCGCGTTAAGTGCCAGAACTTCAAATTTGATGAATTTGACAATGTGTGCGAAGTGTCCACGACCTTTCAAGACGGGAGCCAAAACATCGCCAATTACGCACGCAACGAAACAGACCCTACTCAATTGGCGGAGATTACCAATACCCACGCTAGCTCTGCTCCACATGTCAAGCTAGCATACGATGACAATGGCTGTTTAATTCAAGACGAAGAAGGCCGGAAGTTGGACTACGACAGTATGAGCCGGCTGATTGCCGTCCGCGATTCCGATGATAGTAACAAGATCCTAAGTCAATACGAGTATGACGCCGTCGGACGGTTGCTCTGTCAGAGAATCCCCGACCAGCCCGATATCTGGTTCTTTTACCGTGAGGACAAACTTGTTGCGGTCCAATCGGGAGAACGTCAGGTTAGCTACCTAGCGGACGATAACGGGTATTTGGGACAGTTTGTCAAGGAAGGTGGGAACATATCAACCCAGGTTTTTGCTTTGGATGGCCAACAGTCTGTACTAGCTTGGATTGATACCGACCAGCATGATAAGGTCAACTTGCAGCAGTACACGCCATACGGCCTCGGTACCACAGGATCGAGTATTGGCTTCAACGGACAATGGCGTGATCCAATCACTGGCTGGTATCACTTGGGTAACGGGTATCGCGTCTACAACCCGGTACTTATGCGTTTCCATCAGCCTGATCCTTGGAGTCCTTTCACGTCGGGTGAAATAAACCCGTACGCCTATTGCTTAGGAGACCCGATCAACCGCATCGACCCCAGTGGGCATTTCAGTTTGTTCGGCATCAAATTCGGTTGGAAGGATTTGATCACCGCCATTGCAGGAATAGCAGCCAGTGTTGTTCTTGGTGTTCTCACGGGTGGTGCGAGTCTAGCAGTTCAGATTGGCTTGAGCGTCGCGGTTGGCGTTGTTACTGAGGTAGCAACCGGCATGATTGGAGACGCGTTAGACGGGAATCAGATCACCTGGAAGAGTGTCGGTATGGATGCCCTTGGGGGCGCCTTGGGTGGTCTTACCGGAAAGGCCGGTAAACAGGGCTTGAAGCAGGGATTTAAGGTCGCTAAGACGGGGGTCAAAACCGCCCTTGGCCGTGCAGGCAAAGCGACAATCACCAAGGCAGGCAAAGAGTCGGCGGAAAAGCTTACGAGAAAAGCCGCCAAGAAAATCTTCGTGAAAGCTGTGAAAAAAGAGGCCAAAAGTTTCGCGAAGAGCAAGGCAAAGGAGGGCGCCAAAAGTTTATTCAAATCAGGAGGCTCGGATGGTGAGCCAGAGCAATTACCTTCTACAGCCAGAGACAGCATTCGACCAGCTCTCAAAGATGGTGAGTATGCCTTTGGTGATCTTACTGTGCAGCAGTCCACCATGTCGTCTCTGTCCAGCTACGGCGCAGGGCAACCGCTAGCGGACATGCTGAATAGAGATAACCGATATGGCTTTGGGTCAACGGGCCAATCACAGGATGGGCAAGAAGGAAGTGATGCGTTGGGCTCATTGGAGCAGGCAAGAAATGTGTATTCTTCTCTCAGAAGGACGATAAGGGCACCCCATCGGCCTTTCGGCTTACAGGGTCTGCCGGAGTTGTGATTGTCAGCAAAATATTTCATTGGCAGGGGCCACTGCACAGCATAATTGGTAATTGACACACAGAGCAACGTAGTATCTTATTACTGCAAGGTTTCCCTTCTCTGTCAGTTATGAATGAAAGACAGGGATGTCGATCAATGCTCCATTTGAAGGCCATCTGTCTTAGACGTATTGCGCCCCTAACGCGCAGAATAGATAGCGCAACCTACGCTTTTAGTCCACATTGAATATATAAGAGTTAACTATTCGAGGCTACATGCTGATGTTATCGACAGATCCAGTGATTCGGTTTTACTTAATTTGAAGAAAGGGAAGCTTGTAAGCTTAGAAAATAATCAATTCTATTTGAACACTGTGGATTTACATCTCACGCTATAGTTTGTGGAGTTGCTTTACTACAATACTTGTAAATTTACGTTGGTACGACAGGCCAATTACAGCTCGTCTCGGTGAAAGGCGGCCAGCTGAATGATAGACAAAGTTTAAATAGCTTCAGACAGTTTTAGAAAAAAAAAAAAAGGGTGAATAGAGTAAAGGTAAAGCAGTATGGACACTAAACCCAATGAATCAAAAAGAACGGGTGAACACGGACATACAACCGGAGGGATTCACTGGTGGTCACCCGCCCAACTACTTAACCTCCCAGCGTGTGGCTTAAACGAGGCCAGAAGCCGGGTGGCTGAGCTAGCGGGTAAGCCGCCAGCCAGCACCAACTCACCCCAGACGATGCGCCGCCTCGTGAAAAACTGACTCAAAAAGTGACCCTTGCTACCCACATCGCTTACATGCTCTACTATCTCTTGTTCTTGGCTACTAGGGCTTCACCACAATTTTGGACTTCGGCAAACAAACAGGCCTCGAAACAGATTCTTCTGCTTGTCTTATAAAGCAGAACTTGGACACATTATGGTCTTTAAAAATAAAAACATACGTTGATATCAAAAAACCGCGTTCAGGGAAAATGACCCATATCTATGTGAATTCTGCCATTTATGGATAAGTCACTAATCAATTTGGAGAAATACTGGTAGTCTTGGTTCCTTACAGTCAATCTATGCTAATCGAGTCTCAGGCAATGTAACCCACGACAGAGCTGATTCTGGAAAGTCTGCGGTGCACCTGAAGTATCCGAAGGTTAAACCCAAGTCTCTTTGCTATTTTTGGATCTCGATTAGCAGAGCCATTTTAGAACCTCTCCCCATAAGTCAGCTGATTGGGATCTGAAAAACAACTGCAGCTAAGACCTAAACCGCCCAACACCATTCGTGTTGCAACTGACGTTTGCTCTTTAGCAACAGCACATGGGCGGCTTTAGTGCCATGACACGGTTCCTAGACCAATGGTGGTTAAGGTGCTCACCCCCCATGACTGCAAAGCTGCTAGGCGTTCCAAAACCGGCTTAGATTACAACTAGCTAGGTAGATCATTGCAACCTTTTCCAGCTCTCCTCGAACCCCCAATGGTTTAGGGATTGGTCTTTTCGGTACTCGCAATGACTTTACTCTCTAACAATACATAATGAATGTTATCTTAATTTGCTGTCTATGTGGTATTCAACTTATGACTCACACGCCACCACGTAATCGACCGAGCAGCCGATCAACTAATTCATCTCCTAAGACACCCCATAATGTAAAGCAGCTTCAAAAGCAGGGGACTACAATTAAAAATTGCTTAGGGCTCATACACTGAGTCCTAGGTCTCCCGTTAAGCCTGCTTTAGATCAATCAATAAAAGGAGCTGAGTTGGCCTTACATGATGTGGCTATTCTAAAAGAAATAGAGGCTTTTCGAGCTGCACATGAAAGTCAAGCTCAGAAGACGAAGCGTTCTACTAGGCAGCTAGTTACTACAGAAGGCTGTACTATTCAAGTGTTGTAAGTCAGAGGAAGATTGATAGTTCTATTCTCATCATAAACTTGGTGGCTTATATACAAGATCAGTATCAGATTGATTGAAAATCAATCTGATTCTATACGGAATTTATTCCGTATATCAAGCTCTACAACCTACTTGGTCCAGCCTCGATTTACAACAAAGAGGATCTAGAGGAATTCCAGCGTGGGAATATGGCCCACAAAGCACAAAAATACTATATCTATAGATCCAGTACTATCTGCATCTGGACCACGCGTACGGCGCCACCGTGCTGCAGTTGCCATGCTCTAGGATATAAGCGACGATAATGTCCTATTCGAGCTTCTATATAGTTATTATTAAGTCTTATGAATATGACGTCAACTCCGAAGGATGAAGTAGCCTCTCGCTTATATATTGTGCCTCCTGCAGATGAATTTCGTATTCTGACTAATGTTGCTCATCAGATTGAATGGCTTTTCTCTATTTTATGTCCATATTAGCTTCGCTGCAAATATTCATTTCACTCCGTTTTTTAAAAAGCATTTGCTTCCCAGTGTAGCACCTTTATCCTATATGAAATTGACCTTTAACTCACAGTACTAGTGTCAACCTGATGAATACACCGCTAACCGCGTTGGGGCTTTAGATTCAAATTTGCATTCGAAGATTGTACTTATGATACGAAACTATAAGAGACCATGTGATCCTAGCGGCTTCGCTGATCACCGACCCAACCACTGAAGGCTGAATCCATTAGGGATAAAGATAGTCAAGCGATGGTTTGATAGTCGACCACAAAATTGACTATCTATCGCAATTGTAAAGAACTCGGGGAAGAGCTATATACAGGTCTCGGTATAGAAGGACTGCAATGTAGACGTACTAACTACACGCCAACCATCATATAGATCAGAGGAGCTATATACGACGATGTAATCCGCTACCTCATTAGATTGTCCTAATAGGAGCGTAGGCTCACCAAGGCCCCTTTGTAGTCCACCTGGTTGTAGTCGTGTCCCTGAGGATAAGCCGTGACTAATCTATAGACCCGCTGATGGGCGCAATCCTTTACAGAAATGGCATCCAATCCTCAGCAGGCTACGTGAGCATAGCTGACATAGCCTCATTCTGTCCTTCTTCCCTTGATATCAAAACATATTACAGCGTTAATGATCACAAAGTTCATACTGTTGTTTCATGTTTAGTTCTTCTTATCCATATTAGATTCATCAGACTAGCATTATATTATATATTTGGATCAGAGAGCTAGTTACCTAGGGAGTCAGATCCCTTGTTCAGTCATGACATAAGTATATGAATTAGGTGTCAAGTCCACAACTAGTTACATACTTTCAGCATAAACTATTAAGGCCGAGAAAGTCTCATATGACGAAGTCGTATCATGTTGTTAAATCAATTAAGTCACTAGGATTTAGACAATACAGAACAATCACCAATTATAAGCGTACTCTTTCCGACTGAGTATTTTCAGTAATTTGTCCAGGCGTATGGTGGTATATCACTCAGCTGGGAACCTCGGAACCTTAAAACAACTGAGAGTAACGAACAAATGGACTTCTTCCGCATGTAGAAATGATTATATTATTAAAGTATATAATTTATCAGTGGCGTATTTTCAGTTATTTGGTCAGATGTATGGTGGTATGTCAGTCAGCCGGGAACCTTGGAACCTTGGAACCCTAACAACTGAGAGTACTGACAGATGAACTCTGTCCGCATGCAGGAATTATGTGCCATCAAAGCATGTGGTGCATACTTAGAGTGTTGTGTATTCTTTCAATAGCATAGGGTAAAATGTCCACGTCATATGCTGCATACAACATATACATGGTATCATATATGGAGCATATACTTGCCACTTGTCATATGAGTGTATACGTGTCATCAACCAGAGTGCATACAGTAACACCGATGTAACAGTCCAATGCGGCAAAAAATAATTTAGTACGCAGAATATTTTTATAAGAGCATTAAAGGTAGCTCATTTCCTGATCCTGTAATACATATTGTCTGGTATTCAATGTACATTATTGCTGCAGAAAATATTTCTAAAATATATTATTTCACACAGTAAGTTAGTTCCACAAGCATTACAAACACTTGGTGTTTCATGTGTGGCATATACTGAAATATAACGATAGAAAACAATTAGGGTTTCAAGAATGTCATAGGGAATACTGTGATTCGAGGCCAAAAGGCTTCTGATTCCGTTTTTAACTCTGCAAAAAAAAAACACTAGGGTTGGAAGATGAAGGCTCAGGCCAAGGTAATATATTACCCTGTTCACACTATATTCTATTCTAAAATAAAGTTCAGGAGCCTGTAGGGGTTGACATAGTTCGCCGAAGCGAATCATCGTACGATTTGGCCGAGGAAGTGAAATTTAAATAGCTGCGCGACCCATGAACAGAGCTAGAGAGAAGTTATTAACAGCCAAGGCATCATGTTGCCGGCAGCGGGCCGGTAATGGTTGTGCTCTCTTTGAAGCGAACATAAGACTTTTAAGCTGATAGTTATACAGTTCTCTACCGTGTACGATGAATATAAGAAAGAGCTGTCAATGAGAGTCTAAATTCTAGGCATTGCGACAGGCCCTCTATCTTTCTCCCTTCTTACTCATGCTGCTATTGATGTTGACCTGTTCCACGTAAGGGTAATATAACCTTCGATGATTTGGAAACTGAAAATATGGGAAACACAACAGTTGTTAACGCGAGAATAAGCTTAGAGTTCCCTAACATGGACGATCTACTCAAACCCTTCAAAGACTCTGTTAGCATAGCCTATGCGACTGAGCCGGCCGTGCACAGATCCTGAGTATTTTGATCTGCGTCTAGGATGACCTTTTTATTGTTTTCAATGGATTTTGCATGTATGCAAATAAGGACAGAACAAGTGGCTGTGCTATTTGAATTTATTATGGTCTGTTTAATCCACTTCGCCCCTACCGCATTTTAGATGTCAATTATTTGACATGGGAAGTTAGCGATAGCAGAGATATGCGCCAAATCACTGTTTGATGTAGATGCTCCTATCAAGGCCTGATACTATGGACCCTAGGGTCGATACAGATTCGGGACAGGATGAAGATAGCATTCCATGAACGGGTCAGTGGCCTATACTCTGGCCTAGGTCCAATATTACTGAAGCAGTACACGACCATCACCCAATAACTACAACATCTTCCTCACAGCCAGCTGAGCAACCGTTATAGAGGACTCCCTATACCATGGCCACTTTGATTGTATATAGGAAAAAGCACCGGGTTGGCGTATCAATCGCTTGATCTGTCGACATTGGCCCCTGCCGCACAGACTGTGGTCAGTCTGGCCTGCTAGCAGAAATGACGGCCATGATTGTTCCAAAGCCGGTAGATACGATCCTCAGTCAGATAAATATGATGCTGGCTGGTATTCCTCCCGGGTTGCATATTAACTTACTCTATTGACTAGTTAAAGTCCCTGATTCTCGATATTATTCATTATTCATTCCATTTCAATTATATCTTAATTTATAATAAAGCCCTGATTTATTAAATAATTTGCTGTATAATATATTATTCTTCTTGAATATTTTGGTTATAAAACTCACTCGGGTCTAAGCCGTCAGTAAGGCGTCAATAGCTGAGCACAATTTGAGCGACTTTACTGAATAGCAACATCAATGAATGCCTCTAATGTTCAACCTTCTCCAAATTTCGTAATTACGCATGGTATATGGAGTAAATGGGAGGCATATAAATACGCGTAGTTTCTATATAGCCATGTCTTCTGCTTGTATTTTCTCTAGTTTTATAGCCTGTCACCAGGAAGGTAGTTTTGGTACACTTTTAAGGGGGAGGGTGATATGGAAATAGATCTCTGCGTCGTAAGCAAATAGTTATAGTTGATCTAATATTTAGTAGTTTTCATCATTTTATAACAGATTTATTCAGTCCTTGATACGAACACATCACCTATAGATACGATGCGTTTAGCACGCGGCAAAAGTAGCAGCTCAAGCTATCAGTCCTAGGCATTATCCTAAATTACAGAGAACCTACAAGGTATTCATAGTTATCTGAAACATTTCATAAACAATCTTGAAAGATAGCTGTTTTCTTTTTGAACATACTACGACTGCGTGAAGTCAGAAGCCTACCCCGATGCAGGCGGGCGTGTTGGAGCAAGGCTTTTAATTAGGTCTCCACACCGAGAACTAACATATATAAGCAAAACTGACACAACAAACACTTCAGCCTTAACATTATCACGGCATCCCCTCTTAAGTTCTTCATCTCCACTAGATTCATCTGGAAGTCAAGCCAAACCGGGTCCCAAAACCCTCGACTTTTTTCAGTTCTCGGTAGTGGGCTGTGCATAACTTTTCACCATAGAAGAAATGCTCGCGAGAAGCCGGATTAGAGTCAGGGAAACTTGTAACCCTTGCCCTCTGTTCAAACATAATGATGCAGTCTGAGCCGCCGAATGCGAAGTTCGAAATTTCATCACCCTTTTTAATAGTTTTACCCTTTAGGTTGTCTCTAATTTGAACAGAAGAGACCATGGCCATGCCAATAGGTAAAACAACAACTCTGCCTAGCTTCTCATTGTTTATAATCACTATCCCTCGAGTCTGAAGAAACTGATAGCCCGGAGTATCTGGCGCATCCAGGGTCTGGATATCAGCGGGATTTCTCTCCTTTGTGCCGATCTGACGGGAGAGCTCTAGATAGTTATGGCCGACTTGCTTATCTGTCTTGACCTGTACCTCGAGATAGGCCGCACCTTCAATAACATCAATGACTTCCACAGTTCCTGAAACTGGTGCGTGCTGACGATGATAGTCGAACGAATTCAAGAAAACATGGGTCCAAATTCCGTTCTTAAAGAGCTCTCCATAGGTTGTTTTTTCGTTTCCAGGAACTGGTTTCGTGCCATAATCACCGAGAAGATCTTGTACTTTCCATGGAAGATGCTTCAGAACCACCTCATCTCTCACTATTCTGTATTCTTCTTTTTCAAGAACTACCTCTGATTGGTTACTTATAGCGTATGCCCCTGCAAAAGTAGAATCAGCAGGAAAGGTTACGATACGGTCATTGGTGGGTTCTGTAATTTCACGTGGCTGATTAAGTTTTCGATGAAAGAACTGATTAAAGGTAGTCCAGTTTTTGGAGTCCTCTTCCGACTCGTAGACACGGAAGAGCGGAGAGTTTCGAAAAGTTGTAATGGAGGCTTGATTGATCGACGAAGGTTCGTCCATATGGCTCCCGACTGCCTTGGCAAAACTGACTATCCATTCTGAGAGAGGTTTAGGTGGCTCCGTGAGGCTGAGCGGGTGAATCTTTGTCTGACGAGAGCCCAATGGCTTCTGGGAAAGAACGAAGTAGAAGACACAAAGGATATAGTAGATGTCCCGGCCTTGGGTTGACTCAGTAGGTACCCAGCCTCGGACTAGCCAGTCGGCAAAGTCAAGAAAACCTTTGGCTGAGATGATGCCATACTTGTCCAGCTCGGGAATATCCCATTGACGAGCGTTTCGGACGGCCTGGTCGAGATCATCTACTTCCCAGAGCAGCTGGTCGCGGAGCTCCTCGACGATGTCGCTGTACTTAGGCATGACTGTTGGTGGTTGGTATCTTGGAAAAATATACGAAAGACGTAAACTGGTAATACTGTATGAGGCTAGTTGGTAGAACGTATGTAGGAATAAGGCAGACTTAAGCAGGTTTTAGATGTGCTACTTATAGATCGCCATCCTTCCATCTGGACAGGATGTCTCCGAATTTCCCGAAGTCATGATGTAAAGGCAGGATAGAACGAAGCAATTTGACTAATACCAATGGCCGAATCAATGCTACATAAACATCATATTGACGCTCGAAAAGCCCAAAACTTTAATGAACTCAGAATGCGGTTCCGTGAACCAAGGTCATATCGAATACGACTTCTCTCTGCGAAAACTGTCATATCCTGCATTCAGTAATAGCTTTATCAAATGTAACTATATATACTTTATGTCATATGACAGTCTTTCCTAAAGTACTATTTCCACTTGTCAAGCCAATTTCTACAACTGAATTTGGCATATCCTCCGGGCAGTAAATCAAGATAACTGTGTGGAAGCAGCGCTTGTTCAGTTGTATCCCCTAAGGCCGCGGGAAAATACATTCCATAGAAGAATGACACATAGGTGCTGGTACTAGACTATTGAAACCCTATGTACGACTTCGAGTTGTATTTGCGTGTGGCGGGGTTCCAGGCCTTCGTGCTGCTGGTGGCTCTGCTTCGTGCCCCAATGTTCGTTAACAGCGCCCATATCATCTCAACGTAGCTATCTGATGTCTTCGACAGGGAACATCTTGCGAGAATAGACTGGGCCTCAGCAGCACAACTGAAACTCGGTTGAAAGAAGCTGTGGAACATGTGCAATTATTCAATCTCGTGCAAGTTTACTTATTCGAGCCTGTCACAGGTATCGTTACCCCCCCTGACGGCCCACCACAAAAGAAAGCCTAAGTCGCCGACTTGGCTGGACGGTGAACCCTCAGGGTAAGGCTAAGTGTGCCGTGGATAAATGATTGGCGGTGCTCTCGGTTGGATGTGTACCCTGTGTTACTGCAACCAGTAATCCAACGGCTTGGGCTAGTAATGGATGTGGGATTGAGTCTCACGTGAGTTTGGCATCAAGCTATAACCTTCCTGAGCAGGGGGGCTTGAACTAATCAAAGCAATATCTCTCTAAAAGCAACCAAGTACTCGACAAGCTTAAAGAAATACTCCGTCAGTTCTACGTAATAGATCAATATGACCGTTGTTAGTATTGAGCAGTGCTAGATGTATCTCAGGTGAGATACACCGACCTGTACCACCAGCCCTCTGTCAATATTTAAAAATATAACCAGTAGTTATAGGTGCTGTATATCAACTTATTAATCGGGTGGACTACTGTCACGTTGCAGCTTCGCTTAACAGTGCACCTGACAGCGTATCCTGAGGTACAGATCCAGCTAGATGATATAGTTTGATGTAATCAACCAACAGCAAAGAGGCCCCTGTGGAAAGGCACCTATTATCGACGGAAGCTGGGCAGGTAATAGTCGGTCTTACCAAATTGCCAACTGAGTACCAGGTCTATGCTATTATAGAGTATCAAACATATCCCAAGTCGGACTCGTACCGGGAAAGGGTCATGAAAGCCCCATTTTGCGGTTTCAAGGATTTCTTTGTACGTCACCCGAAGACTGTAGTTTAAGATACCAGTATCTCGCAGTGGCCGAGCGTCAAGGTGCGAAATGTTGAGATAATTAGAGATAGCAAGAGACATACAAGAGTATTAGTGACTGTGCTCACCCAGGACCAGTGGTAGGCGTTTCAGCCACCCTTAGCAACCCTTCAGGGTCTCCCTCAGGGACCTGAATAATCTTCACCAAAAAGACTGAACGCACGTTAACACTACTGCGCGAATCCTATATAGGCCGAGATCAACTCGTGGGATCCCGCGGAAATGGGAGAATTTTCCCTCCCAAAATCACCCTAGGTGCTGAAAGAGACATTATGATTTCGCGTTGCCCAGATCAATTTTCCTGCAGGATGTGACGTCACTTTACGCTGGTTTCGGCGATTAGTCACGGTGAGATTCTGTCTAAACTACATCCAATGTCACGGTAACGGAAGGAATGACAAGTTCGATGACTAGATCACGCATGTTGGGCATCGGAACCTCTCGGCCGGATAAACTCTGTTGCTCGCTATGGTGGGTGTGGTAACACAGGCATTCCTGGCGCACATACTCAGATTAGCCACAGGACGGAGGGGGATCTGAGTATGGTCAGTCTACTCTAGCTGAAAGAATTAGGATCTTTGGCACGGCTGAGTCGATACATGCGGGCTATCACCTACTTTCTAAGGGTGGTATTATTATCATAGAAGGTGTTCATGATCATGATGTTGCTAAGTCTCCTTTCGATAATCGTAACACTACAGTGGGATGCGACTAACGCGTCTTCTCATCCGTTTTTGGTCTACTTATCACTGGACTCCGTGCGTTGCGCTTATTGCTTTAGGTGGTTTTGCCAGCCAGTCACTTGTAGATATGAAGCTATCAGAATCGAAGACATACAGAAGACGATGTACAGTAGATGTACTGTAAACCTGCCCTGAGCAAATACCGTCTCAGGCTTTACGTGTTTTGTTTCGATGCCTCAGAGAGAATATGGTAGGCGGCCTGATGTTCCTCATCAGTGGCCGATTGTCTACGCACCTGGGTCAGGGTATCCAGCACAGTCATCAGGTTGAATGCTATTCAATCTGTGACTTTACATATGTTCTTGGATACTCTGGTAGATCATCCGTATGTTCAATATGTAATGTTTGATGTGGATGCCTTTCTGCATCTGTTAAAAGTTATTCAAGATATCGGTTGTTCCTAATCAGTATTCAATAAGTTATTAAGTACTTAGAACTAGATATATTTTTACCTCTTCATTTTTCTCTACCTCCCCAAAGTCCGTAGTATATTCTGTAGTATTGTCAAAGTCCATTTTGTACAAAATTAGAGACTTAGAGTAATTCCTGACTGGAAGTAATGAAATACTATAACTTATTTAAAAATATTTGTGGACAGAAAAGCTGAAAATGAATTTCACGAGAAATGTTACACTATAATTTAATAGCTGAGGTGGACCTCTGTATTCAGCTAACCGCTGGATACAGACGCTAAACCTGATGAACAATAATAATACGCTGCAAGGAAGAAATGAATAAACCTGTCGGATAAAGAATAGAACTTTTAAAATCCAAAGCTTAGCATAGATACTAGCCTTGCGGACTAACTGCGTGATGGTTCTTATATAGAAGCGGGGCTTAAACTCACGTGTTAAGCGAGCTGCTGGCTGATGGTTCAATTTCCGGTTCAACGTTCCGCCGGTAAGCGAAGAATATCGTAGTCGAAATCGCTTAAAATCACAGGCAGTTCCCGAATGATTGCCTTGTATATATCCTGGGTCTCTCCAGGGAGGTCCCGCCAAGGGACGAGGTCTGGCGAAATCCTTGCTGCTAAATCTCTTCTCTCTCCATATTCCCACTGCCTTTGTAGGCTCTCTGTTATGGATCGTTGGTGCTCTCGGATTGCCAGTTCCTCAATCTCATTCCCTTCAAACTCAAAAGGCGGAGATGTTCTTCCTGCAACTTTGCTTGAGGAGTAACACTTAATCATCAGCAGCTTGTATGCAATGTCGTCAGCTTGGCGGCGAGTGCTCTCCTTATATTGTTCGTCTAGCATAGGCCAGATCTTGCAAGCCTCATCGAGACCCTCAACCAAATGCGCTTTGTCACCAGCTGAAAGCCTGTTAATTTCCCGTCTGTACTTCGAGTGGAGGCCCATGGCAATAAGATCACGCAACTCATTGTCGGAAGAATCCCCTGAAGAACTTGATTCCGAACAAGAACTGGGTAAATCCCATGTTAGGATAGGATGTCTCATCCGTTGTACGAAACTTAATTTCTCTACATGCAAGTTGAGTTGGTCTTCGGGAGGGAGTGCTGCCCGTTCGAATCTCTTCTTACCAGATAGTCGACTCATGTCGAGTATTGCTTCCAGAGATCTGGCGCCATGACGATATTTCGGAACAGTTAATAGCGCGTTTAACAAAGCATCATCAACAGCGTCCGCGTTGCCCAGATTGCGTTGTTTAAGCAGCTCATGCAGCAAGAGAGCCCGCCGTATGGGATATGTCTTGTCTTTTGTTTTGTCTGGATCAGGGTCGGGGCCCCGAACATTAACATAGCCCCGAAGGCGACTAACGAAGTCGGGCCCTTTGGTGGTAGGGTCGGAGTGCGCGCTGGTTTCAAAATCTTCGAATGTTTTACAGGTTCCTCCAATGAAAACGAATATAGCACGTCCGATTGGGTGCATTCTCCCGCAATCCATGAATTCACCGTCCTGCATCGGAGCAAGGAAGTACTTAAGCCAGCTTAGCTTAGAATTATGGAGTGCAGCATCGAATTCATCGAACAAGACCAAAGGAGTCGTCCCAGACAGTGCTTCGTCTCGGACTAAGTGGAATGCTGCTATCAAGTCTGCGTATTCCTGGAATTGAGAGAGGTTGAACTCCAACACTGGGAATGTTTCCCCAGCCACTTGTTTCATCGCAAATGACTTTCCCGTTCCCGGAGGCCCAAAAACACTGATACAAAGAGGTCTGGTAATTTGGGGCTTTCTTGAATACTCTTCCACGAGATTGCTTATTGCACGATATCCTTCGATCTCCCTCCTATCAGCCGTCATCAATCTACCGAAGCGAGCAAATGGCACATCCTTCAGGATTTTGGCGGGCCCATCAAGTACTAGGCGATGAGAAACTTGAGCTTTTTCGCCTGCATTGTCTTCCAGGATCGACCAGAGGTCCTCACATCCTTCAATATTCTCAATTTTTTGAAGGATACGGCGTCTGGGGATATCAACCTCACTGAAAACCTGATGCTCTCTTGGAATTTCAAGACAATCCGGCTGTAGATCAGGTTCATCACCCGACATGATGTACTGTAACGGGAAATCTATAGAGCGCAACCTATTCCTATATCTTCGAAAGCCTTCATGTGCAAGACGTCTGGCGCATAAGAGCCCCCTCTTTATTGCTCTCTCAATGGCAGACTCAATATTCTGTGGTAATTCGACGTCGGAGTTTATCATACAGGAAGCAAGACCGGCTACGAAAGCCGTGGTCAGTCCAACCATAGAATATTTAGCGTTGCCGGGGCAGGACCGGATGAAGTCGCCTTCGCCACACGGCCCGCTGAAGTAAAGAGTCGACTTTGATTGTTCGCTGTGCTCCTGTACTTTTCCACGCCTGTGATGGATAGCTCCGTCGCAGCCAAATAGTACAATGAGATGAGCACAATTCACAAGAGAAACAAACTCCCCATTACACTCGAGTTCCTTGATGAAATCTTCTGCCGTCTTCTCCCAAGATATGTGCCGACTCAACTCTACTCCCTGATCGCGTAGATCATCTGCATTAACAATCACGATAAGCTTGTCTCTGTAGTGAGCACCACGGCGAACACTTTTCCACAATAGCCCTTCAGCCAAGGGCCTGGCCATCCGATAGATTAAGAGCTTCGTTTTCGGATTTGCTAAGAAGTCCTCTGCCTCTTTGATATCTTCCCGGCCCTTCTCTTTTCCTTTCACGCTTGTGTTAAAATTTCCGGTGTTCATAGGTTCTTGCACTATGGTCAGTGTAGATTCCGTCGATTGTTGCGCGGATTGAGACTGAGGGAATCTCCAGGTCGATGGTGCCTCGGTGTACTCAATTTCTTCTACTCTGAAACGCCCGTCATTATTCGGGTGGGCAGTCTCTGTAGGACATAATTTCACAATCGACCGAAAGACATCATTTGATGAGTCTGACGATGGTCCGATCACTTCCACATTCTCGGCGGTCTGGTGATATAGTAGGTCTGTCAATAGAGCGGCACCACCTGGCCTTGGGAAGATGGAACGCAGGCGACCATCTTGAGGTTTATTTTCCGCTAATGCGAGTAGGTAGGTGAACACTTCCCCAGCAACGAATATACTTTTACGCGCCCTTGATCCCGAATCGGAGGTGGGTGTCTCCGGACTGGGTTTACCGGACGCGTCGTCATTATCGGAGTGCATAGGTATCGATTTTGAAACAAAGGCTTAGCTGTTATACAAAGCTGACTCCATTGAATAGAGGCTTGGAGGTATTTATGCTTCTTGTTGGTGCGCTAGGATGGGGGAAAGAAAAACGGGGTTAGGGAGGGGAATGGTATGGGTATTCTAGGTATCTTATGACTGTTGGTCGATTTAGGTCTTTTGATGGCCAGAGCGCCCCAGCCGTATAGCAAGATCACAACACTCCAGAGACAATCAATAAAACCGTGTTATGCAAAGATGCTGGTACAAAGTATACTTTCTTTTGTCTGGCTCCTTGTTTCCAAGGGATACTATAAGTTTCAAAGAAAGGAGTTTAACGAGGGTACACCTTTAGTTCTCAGCCTTTAGTGTTCAGTTTCTCGTGTCTGGAGAACTCCTCTTGGGCAATCACTGAATCTTATGACTGTTGGTCGATTTAGATCTCTTTGATGGCCAGATCGGTCCAGCCGTATAGCAAAATCACAACACTCCAGAGACAATCAATAAAAACGCGTTATACAAGGATACTGATATAAAGTATATATCCTGTTGTCTGACTCCTTGTTTCCAAGGGACGCTATAAGTTTAAAAGAAAGGAGCTTAACAAGGGTACACTTTTAGTTGTCAGGCTTAGTGTTCAGTTTCTCCGTGTCCGGAGAACCCCTCTTCGGCAAACACTGAATCTTATGATATTGCTTCGCAATATGGTGTTTGAATTCTACGTCTACCCCTTCTGTGATATGTTTAATGTGCATCAGATGAGAATCACATTGTATCGAGTAAAGAGACAAATTTGAGATGAGAATATCGAAATCCAAAAGTCCTGCTGAGAATTTCCGTCTCCAACACCATGTATCACGTGTCTTCCCGGTTTATTTGGTTTTGCAACTATTCCGTAGTTAGTCTTTTGCTACTGACGACGGTTCTCAAGGTTTTGAGGTGTAGACTGACCTAGTCCATTATGGCCAAAGCCAAGTTGCGCAATTGGGAGCCCAATCAGCCGCGTGTATGGACTATGGGCAGTACCATATTTGAAACCAACTGTAAACTTGCGTAGTTAGGATTTGGTTGGGGGGTTTGTGGTGGGAGCGACAAAAGAGACGAACTGAAACAGCACCACGCAGAAAACCCATGTTGCCAGCTTTAAGGGCCGAGAACTATGATACCCAAACTTTGTTAAACTATCTCTCAAGACCCATTTGCTGGCTCGCCCCCCTTTAAGGTCAATTTGGTTTGATGTTATTCCGGTGTTGCCGCATTAAGCTTACGCGATCCGTGTTTATTGCACAATTACGCAGCAGTTCCGAACAACATCTCATACAAGTTGGTAAGCTTTTGCCAAGCTCGACCCGTAGATGGCTTCTATTGATATCATACCACTAGGCCAAAAAGGTGTCCGGACGGTGTAGACGTCAGTCAAGGGTTTCATACCCATAATCATAGTGGTAGCTTGTTCCAACAGCTATGAACTAGACAAAGTTTTATTTTCTTTTGTTTTATTATATCAGTAGTTTGCTAGCTGTTAAGCATTATTGAGGCGGTTGATCATGACATCCTGGAAATATTAGAATTGAACTCATGTTTTAGATCAGATCGAAGCTCTAATTTAGTTTATCTACCTAGTTGATATTTCAGCTGATTTTCATTTCCCAATGCAGCGTATGGATCATATTTTAACTTGCAATATTGGTAGCCGCTAGAAAGGTTATATTAATGAAGAGGATACTATGTTATAAAGCAGCAGTTAACGAAACTGGAATAATCACGGCTAGTAAAGTGTCTTAGGTGACCAGGATTTCACCATTGTCTATGAATGGTTTTTGAAAAGGCCTACATCCTACAGGTACCTGCCGTTCCATGTATCATGCTGTGTCAACTTAAATCTTTATGGCAAAAGCAGGATTCTATACCACCAGAAATACCCCTCTTATAGTATTATTCAGTCAGTTCGCTTTTTTAGTAATATATATTATCTTTCTACTTTCCTAATAATGAATTTCCGTGGTTGTCTGTATTCAGCAACGATTGTGGTAGTGAGTTGTAAGAGGACGATTTTCTCCATTTTGCCGTTCCTCAGTAGCTATGCCCGGCTCTTGGCCCAATATGGGCTACCTGATAATCTCTCGATGGAGGAGCGTAATGAGCCCGGTGGGATAGTGACAAGATACTTCCATATGAGGCTTTCCAGGTTCCTATATAGAAATGATTGCTCAAATGTTGCATGGTATGTACATTGCAGACATGGCAATGAAAGCTTGAACTTTATAAGTGTATTATTAACTTATTATTTAATAATATGATAAATTTAAGAAATGCGTTATAAAGCAGGTAAAGAACAAGAGGCATTGGATGAAGCAAAGATGGGAAAGGAAAAGCAAAGAGGTAAAGACAGGTGCTTTTTGGTGGCGAATATGTATCCTGCAGGTACGAAATACTGATGATCTTGGCTCACATACAAGTGTTCATAATCAATGAAATATTCACCAGCCCGCTTAACCGACTGGTGTACTGCCAAGCATCATTGGTCTAGTGGTAGAATTCATCGTTGCCATCGATGAGGCCCGTGTTCGATTCACGGATGATGCACGAACTTTTTGCTTTCTTTATTTTGCGTCATACGGGAAGTCAAACGTCTGCTCTGAATAGTCCATGAAAAAAAGGATTACCCTAACGAAGCATCCTTCGAAGCGCATGCTCAATAGCACGGCGACTGACTCCCATCATAACATAGTACTCAGACTGAGCTTTAACATTCCAGTCCCATCTACTTACTTGAAACTACACCATATTACCAAACATTTCCCCTAGTCTGCTCCCTGTCCAACTTCTTGACATTAATATCCTTCCAAAACCAAACACACCCAATACAAAGCGGAACGAAACAAACACCCGCAATAACCATCTTCCTCTGTACATCCGCATAAGCACCCACAATAGCTTCTCTCTCTGGTGACCCATCCGCATACGACATCTGCATGACCATATCACTGAAGATAGTGGCACTGATATTCTTGGTCTCCTCGGGGAGCCTTTTGTACAGTTCACCGGGCAGGATATTATTCCACATTCCACCGGCGATGGCAGATCCAACGGCTGCACCGATCGACCCGAATAATCCCCAGATAGCGACGACGACGGCGATCTCTTGGTGTGTTACTGGTGCCATGATGGCTAGTTGGCCGCAGACGGTGAATATGCATGTGCCCAGACCCACGAGGATTTGGGTCATGGTTAGGATGCCGACGTGGGTGTCGGGTTGGCGAAACGGGATTAGGAGGGCAGTGCCGAGGAGGAGGATGGGGATGCCGGTGAAGACGGTCCATTTGAATTCACCGGTGTAGCGGATTAGACTATTCTTGTTAGGTCTTTGCTTTTGAGACGATAGGGTCAGGGTGAGGGGCTAATGGTCTTACAGGCCGAAAATTGGGCTGAAGATGTAGGAGGTTAGGGAGAAGGCGTTCAGGACGTAGTTGGCTGTTGTTATGTCTAGTCGGTGGACGACTTGGAGGTAGGAGCTGAAGTAGCTGTTCCAGGTGCTGGTTTGTTTGTTACCAATGCATTCAACATGGAGGGTGGTTTCCTATGGGTGGCGGAGTAGAAGACTTACAAGCAAGAGATGAACATAACGCAGTACAGAAGACAGGAACCAATGATCGTGGGTTCCTTTAAGTATTTCCAAGGGAGGAATTGGACGGGGGAAAGGTATCTCTCCCATGCATAGAATGCAGGGATGCAAACCACCCCGAGCACTTCCATCGCAATGATATACCCACTTGCCCATCCATTAGGGGCATACGAGGCAAGGCTGAAGGGGAGAAGAATCAAGGAAAAAACCGCCGTAATCAACACAATTCCAACCACTAGAGATCTTTGGTTAGTCACAAGTAGTAACTTAAGCATGAGATGCAAAGGCAACACGCACCATCAAATTCGATGAAATAGTAGATGATAGATTGCCACCAAGTCCTCTCCGAGACCCTCTTCTCGAGAGTACCAACCTTTTGGGCTCTCCGCTGCATGTGTAGCATAACACCCACAACAGGGATAGAGGTACCAGCAGTCATAATTGCGAAAGCGCCAAAAGCCCAACGAAAGTTGAGATTGTTGTAGAATAAACTTGCGATCCTGGGCCCAGCAAACGTGCTCGCGATGCTGGGCGTTCCGTTGATACCGAGCATAATCATTCGGTTTTTGAGGGTTGTCATGTCTGCCAGCATGATATCTACTACATACATCATACCAATATGTCCCACCCAATATAGTGTATGTGCGGCCACGTAGGTTTCGATATTTTTGCAGGTCGCCTTCATTATTAGGCCTATCACGACAATTAGGAGCATAAAAAGAAAGCCTTCCACACGTCCCCAGATATCAATTATTTTGGCCAGAGTGAGTTTTGAGGAACCGCCCAGAATGGTGGACATGATGCTGACCACTGTGAGTAACCCATGCTTATGGAATGACGAAGTGATGTATGGATTGAGCGAAGTTTGGACGGAGACTAAAAGCATGTCGACGAAAGAGACAAGGTAAAGTCTGCATGAGAGTAAGCCTTTGCCTCATACGAGCGCATAATGTGGCTGAAACTCAAGATCAATTGAGAGCAAGACTTACAAGATGAACATAAGCCACATCGTATTCTTGGACCATAACGAAGTAATGGCTCTCACTCGCTGAACGCCGCCCTGAAACACAGTAGAATCCTTGTCTGAGATACTCACACCATCTCTAGGAGGCTCATGGACGATGCGATCAACCCCCCCATTTTTTTCCGGATCGGCCCCCGTACTGCTAACAGGTTCAATCTGATTCGGCACGATGGCTTTTGGTCTGCCATCGGAAGGAACACCGCTCATGGCTGACGGATGCAGAAACACAGGGAAATTTAGGATAAGGTTGTTGACGTGGTATGGGGAGAGCGGACAAACAGACGAAGTTCAAATATGTGAGGGATTTACAGGGCTCTCCAGTCTCAGTCTAGGATCCGAGAGCGCCACAACAATAAGCACTTGCATATACGCCCCCCTATCAGATGATCAGATAAGATATACGCGAACATATTGCCCAATAATGTATTATACAGTGGGGTTGCGCAATGTTAGTATGTAACTAAAATACGAAAAGCGGGATTGGCGCCAAGGATCCGAAAACGGAGGCAGTCCACGGAGTACTTAGATACCTTTTTATATTGGTGAGCCAAGTGATGTGCAAGTCAAAAGGCAGTACATAAAATATAATGCCTCCAGGAAATAGTAGAATTATTAGGTACTTCCCAGCTCCAGGATGATCCCGAGGAATCAAGAACAAAAGTGTAATGTAGGGCAAAAGTTAAAAGTTAGTCGAGTCATGCAATGTTGTAGCGAGTGTACCACGTGAGTTAGCTGTGAGTGCTTTGGGGCACTCACCAGTGCTTCTCGAAGCACGCACCTCCTAGTGCCAAAACTCTACGGGATGGATACTTCGGCTAAATTCTAACCAACCTCTTCTGTCGGAACGTGATTTAAACATTTGATACGGCACTGATCTCCTCTTGATAATCCTCCAACAAAGCACAACGCTATACGGTTCCTTTTGCTGTCGTTGGGAAGGGGCTATCAATGGACGCAACCAAAATGCGGTCCTTTGATATGTTGGCCTCAACAGGTAGATCGTGATTAGCCTTCTCAACCAAGGGCCAGATGCTGCTCACAAGGCCATCAGGTGAGTGGGGCAGCCACTCTGCTTCCAGTCTGGCTCCAATATGAGTACTGCGCGGAATCTATGATCTGTCGAGACCACACCTCTGGAAATGAAACTGTGCGCTTCGAATATTTTCTCAATGGGATTGGGCTAAAGGTAGATTCGATTTTGCAGCTTGCACATATTGTTCTTCCGACCAGAATCTAGAGATGGTAACAGACGGACCCCACTTGGATGTGCTGCTAAGGAAGGGCATGTGGATGTGGTTAAGCTGTTACTTGAGAAAGGTTCTGATATAGAATCTAGAGATTGTGAGGGTCAAACACCACTTGGATGTGCTGTTATAAAAGGGCATGAGGGTGTGGTTGAGCTGCTACTTGAAAAGGGTGCCGACATGGAGTGCAAATCTAATATTCGTGCTACACCATTGATGTCTGCTGTCAGATGGGGCTATGCAGGTATAGTGAAGCTCCTGCTTGAAAAGGGTGCTGACGCCGGGGGCAAATATTGGGACGGCAACACACTTCCTGAACTTGCTTCTCGTCATGGACACGGAGACCTCGTTGGGCTGCTGCTCGAAAAAGGGTGCTGATCCAGAATACAAGAATGAGGCAGGTAGTACACCACTGATGTATTAAGGGACTTGTCGATGGGGTCAGATTAAATACGATTTATAGATAATGTACTCAATATTCATCTTACAGCTAGGTTGTCATAAATCTGTAGGGCAAGCTCTAGGTGTAACAGGAAGAACCCCTGTTAGGTCAAGAGCCTAACAAACAGTTTGATGCTATCTATCCCCTCACTAATTTACCAGAACCACCTCTTCTTCGCCCCTTCCGGGGGATAAACCACAATCCGATCCAAATCTGCCCCCTTGAAATCAAACCCATTCCACAACCCGCCAACCGTAATTGTATTCTCGCCTTTCTTCAATGGCAATAAAAGCGGCGTGGAGAGAATAATACCCTTATGCGTATCCTTCTGGTACAATGTGCGTACGTTCTCTGTATCACCGTTCACTACCACGCTGCTGATCCGCCGGAGTTGCCAGGTGCCGTTTATGCGGTCAGGCTGGCCCATTGGTTGATCACCGAAACCCATGTCGTCAATGTCTGAGGGGTCGGTTAGTAAGTGTGGACTTGGTTTGGGGAAGAGAGGAGGGAACAACATACTTTGGTGGTAGAATGATACCCATTGGTCTTGACCTTGGCCTTGCACAGTGAAGGTGATTGTGCTGCCATTGCCGTAAATGCCGGTAGCGATTCGGTTTCCACTAGCGAATGTCTGAAGTAAAGGCCCGTGAGTTTACAAGTCAGTTTATATGTATGCTGTGATGAACTTACTGCCTCTTGTAGGTACGCATCTCCGGCGGTCTTTGCATGTTTGGAGATATATGTCTCTCCCTTGATGGGCTTCCATTCACCCGTTTTACTACGCATACAAAATCAATACAAACACTAGGAAAGACGTTGAGCATGCACTTACACGTTCAGATCGTAAACGTCGTGCCAGACGACCTTCAAGCTACCCTCTCGATCATCGATCTCAATAGGAAGCCATACATTACGACTCTCCCAGAGCGAGTTCATGTCCCACTACAGGATTGTTAAATCGGGTCAGCGCTAGGCTATTGCAACTAATCAAGTAAGGTAAAAGACATACTTGGTCGGCCATATACAAGTACGTAGTCTTCTTAGTCCCCTGAATTCTCCAAGAGAACCCAGACTGCGTACTGAATGTACGGGTATATGCCGGGGAAACGAAGAATGGCTGAGACCAGGGGCCCTCGAGCTTGTCAGCGCGGAATGCTACCACATCTGCAAAATACATCAGTCTACAGTCTCACAACATTCCCTAACTAGATAAGTAAGGACATACTATTAGGCCGATACCCAGTCTTATGGCTCATAAGTGCGTAGTAACTATTCTCCGTTTGTAGGATAGTAGGTGCCTCAAAGTCATACTTAGGAAATCGGTAAGTAACCTCCTCAACAGCTGTGAGGTTGCTATTGAATTTGCTCAGATAGACGTCGCGGCCCTCAACGTTATCACCGTTCGAATAGAGGGCATACGAGTGACCAGATTTGTAATCCGTAAACGCGCCAAAATCTTGGGACCAATTACCCAAGGGAGAGGTAGCATCCACAAAGGTATAAGGGCCGTCAATATTGTCGGCTGTTGCATGACCTTGGAGGAGCCAAGAGTACTTGTCATCATCGGCGTGCCACCACATCTATCCGATACTTAGCAGCTTTTTTGTTTGGGCAATGAAGGCGGGCCTTACATGATATTGGCCGGTTTCTTCGCTGTATAACACCTTCGGGCGCTGGATGCGATTGTGCGGTGAGATATAGGTATGGTTCTCAATGGGCTCTATGACGTGTTAAAGTGTCTGTCCATCCTTTGGAAACTCGGAGCTCACCGAGAGCGAGCCCGTGCGACTCCCAAGTTGCAAGGTCGTCAGAGCTATAGACAGAGACCCCACCACCTTCAACTTGACCCTCGACTTTGTACTCCCCGAACCAGTAGAACTTGCCAGTCACCTGATCAATGCAAAGTCCTCCGGCATGAGCATTGAAAATGTTGCCGTTGGTATCGTGCCATCGTGCGCCAGGAACAATCCATTTAGCATTAGCACAAGCAGCAAGTGCTAGGAGAGTCGAGGCGAATCTTCGAACAGCCATGATGTCTCAGTTATCATACACTTCACGGTGCTACCAAATGAGATAAGGGATGTGTGGCGAGGAAAACTGGGTGCTACCATTGACACAGGGTCCTATGTATAGTCTTTATCCTATACGCCATAAAAGCCATCTAAACCTACTATGCAGCCTCCTTGACCCTAGCTATTAGAGTTCAACTCTACCCCTCAATATCGGCGGAGCACTACCCCGAGCGAAAAGTTCATTCATCTCAGACCTCATGTAATTCGGGTAGACATCGTGGCGACTTAATCCGTTATTGCTCAATAGCCGACTGCCAAGCAGAAAAGCTGTACCCGGCTTGCAACCGATCTAGTAAAGAAGATAGACAAGAGTCTAACTTCAGGCAAGACCCATTGAGGGGTTCTAGCTAGTGTGTGGGGAAATATCTTGGAACCCCGTACCTTACCCAAAGCCAAGCATTGCGGCGTCATTACTTAGATGATAATTGTCTGGCCACCGTTCACTTCATGCTAAGCGGACGAATGATATGCTGTAAAGGTAGGGTCTTGCCATAGCTCCGTATTAGTTAAGCGGCATAGAGGATTCGGTATATCTTCTTCCACGAATCAAGTCTTCGCCATGTTGTTAGGGTCCTTAAGCGTGGGGGCAGCATGTTATCTTGTTCTAGCCCTATGTAGCTGGGTGTTGCTATATCATTGCTCTCATGGAATTCTACTTGGCTTGGGTAATAGACAATGGGAATCCATTAGGACTTGCTACCATTTCCGCGGGAAACCCTGACCGGATTAGTCAGAACAGCAAAATGAAGGGTTTCTACGCCCTAGTCATCCTATTCCTACATGGACTTGCGTTGGCACTATTGGAGGAGAACCTAGTTGCCTTCGAATATATCGACGGTTCCATTGAATTTGGCAATGCTCCAATATTGCGAGATGCAAGCGATCCTGTGGGTGTCAAGATTGCTGCAGACAGTTTAGCCGGTGACCTGGAAGAAGTCACTGATGTCAAGCGTCGCGTGCTCGTTTGGGATGAAACTGCATCCGTTGTTGAAGATGAGCCGTCTACTGGGTTAATTATTATCGCGGCAACAGTCGACTCGCCACTTGTATCACGGCTTGAAGAGAATGGCAAGATCAATGTTGATGATATCCGTGGTAAATGGGAGAGCTTTCGCACTGTTCTTATCGATAGTCCTCTACCTGGGATCAAACATGCTCTCGCAATTGTTGGTAGTGACAAGAGAGGAACTATGTTCGGTGTCTTTACGCTCTCGGAGCAAATTGGAAAATCCCCGTGAGTTACATTCTGGCTCATCTATCCACCAAGGCTAACCAAACCCATAGGCTCCATTGGTGGGCCGATGTTCCAGTCACGAAGCACAAGACGATGTATGCCTTGAACAAAACCACAACACAGGGTGAGCCTAGCGTCAAGTACCGCGGTATCTTCATTAACGATGAAGCACCCGCTCTGACAGGCTGGTGGGCAAAGCATGCCAATGTGGACGACTATACCTTCAATGC